ACAATGGGATACCATGCAGATCGGCTTGGGAGCCAAGCTGATTGCCGAGGCCGGATTCCCACCCGGTGTTGTGAATATACTTCATGGATATGGCCCGACCACCGGCAATGCGATAGCCTCACACATGGACGTTCGCTGTATCAGCTTCACCGGATCTAGCTTGACAGGACGGAAGATCCAAGCCGCTGCGGCCAAGTCCAATATGAAAACCGTACACATGGAGCTGGGGGGAAAGACCCCTGCCCTGATTTTCGAGGATGCGGACCTGGAATCTGCAGCTGAGCAGACTCAATTCAGCGTGCAACTCTTCAGTGGACAAACCTGTATCGCCAACTCACGCATTTACGTACAAGAAACGGTAGTAGACAAATTCCTCGCTGTTTTCAAGGATAAATTTGGCGCTGCTATACTTGGAAACCCGTTGAATGAAGCAACAAATCAAGGACCGCAAGCTGATAGAACTCAGTATGAGCGAGTCAAAGCGTACCTTTCTTTGGGAGAGAAGAAGGGTAAGTTGACACTCGGCGGTGATGCAAAGGATGGAAACTTCATCAAGCCCACTGTGTTCGAGGAGGTGCCGGAGGAGTCTCAGATCATGAAAGAGGAAATCTCCGGTCCTGTGGTAGTGATCAACACATTCGGGAAAGAAGAAGAGGCCATTGCAAGAGCCAATGATAGTGAATTCGGCTTGTATGCAGCCGTCTTCACCAAGAATATTGACCGGGCTCTGCGGGCATCGAAACTGCTTGAAGCCGGGACCGTTGGCGTTAACTGCACAAGTCCTTCCATGGCGAAAGATATGCCATTCGGAGGCTGGAAAGGCAGTGGTATCGGTCGTGAGGGTTATCTGCATAGCATGGATAGCTATCTGGAGACCAAGTCCATTCTGGTCAAGACAGGCTAAGACAAGGATGGTCCGGACTGCTCGGTCTTCCTTCCTCTGTTCTGCACTTATTCCAGACTGACCTGCGCGCTGCTCGAAGTGAATTGATTCCGTAAGTTAGCAAATTGCAATGAGATACTATTTTTCGGTTTTGCAGCCTCACAAGCTCAATAAATAAGATTGTGTACAGGCCATAGCGGAAAGCTTAATGGCGTTCAGTGCACACTAAACATGTGGGAGATGACGGAAGACTATAGGTCCAGGCGATAATGAATGCTTCTGTACCTGGACCTCAACATCAAAGCAGAAATCGCACCTTATTATCTAGGTCTGAGTGCACTGGCCAAGGCATCAGAAGTAGGACACTGATATGACTACCTCTCATCCAGTTTGGAAGACAAGCTATACGAAGATAGCTAATTAGCGAAGAGAACATTGTTGCACATACACAGCGCATCAAGAGCTCAAACCAAGCTGCTCCAAGCAAACCCCCGTTACTGAAGAGCCAATCCCCCTTGTTGATATCGCTGCAAGTGTACTCTTTTTATTTAGATTGGTTTTTGGTCATATACTAGAGAAATTGAAGCAATAATCATTACATTTGTTATGTCCCATTATTCCCAGTCATAACGTACATTAAATGCTCACCCTAGTCATCCACCTTTTTTATGCGTAAGGATGAACCTTATATTCCTCTCCATCTCGATCCGGTCCAAGAGAATCGCACTTCACTCACAGAATGCTCATCAGCAGAGCCACAACGGCACCCGAAAGAGTGGCAAACCCAGGCAACATCATAGGGTTACCAGTGTTGGCAACAGCAGATGATGAAGCAGAAGAAGAGGTAGAGGAGTTGGAGCTGTTCTGCTTCCTGGTGGCGGTGACGTCGACATTATACTTGGATTTGGTGTCGTACGGGAAAGGGCTGGTGTAGTTGTAAGTAGGCTCAGTGTTGGCAAAATTCTTCTTCACAATGTCAAGAATACCATGGCCAGCCGAGCAAGTACCATTAGTCAAAGGGACTGGCCACGCAGAAGAGTACTCCGAGTAATCATTATCAGAGAGCGGGCCAGGGTAGGTCTCGTTAAGGTGGAGATTAGTGGTGTCAACATCGTAGTTAACGTAACCGGTCTTGTTGGCCACGATTTCGAGAATGTTGGCGCCACAGTCCCAGCGCCCAAGGGAAGGCAACCCCCAGTTGGCCGAGACGGATGCAATGACGGAGTAGTGGGTGTAGAAGGTGTCGTCCTTAGTGCCCTTTAGGTTGTCGGGAATCACACCACCCAACAAAATACTGAAGATTTTGTTTCCTTTGGGGTAGGTCTTGTCCTCATCAAAGGTGAGGAGCAACAAGGTATCGTTCATGAAGTAGGAGTTGTTCAGCAACGGAGGCACCCAGCTACGCTCCCACTGAGCAGCAAAGGTGATGTTTGTGTCGTGAGCATCGTTAGTCATGTTGGGAGTGATAAAGGCCCACTGAGGTAGCTTCTTGTTGGCCAAGTCGTCTTCAAAGCTGGTGAAGTTCTTGATCTGACGCAAGCGAGTGCTATTCTGGGCAATCGAGTCGAACAGAATCAAAGGGTTGTGCTTTCGCACGTAGTCATTGGCATAGGTGACTTGATTAGAGTAATTATACCCTTGGAAGCCAGGATAAGGGAGGTGCTCCTGATATTCACCCCAAGCAATGTTCTTCGTGTCCAGCAAATCAGCGATAGTAGAAACGTTGGCCGGAATTTGCTGGAAGTCATCGTTGTCCATGCCAAAGGTGTCGCCAGAGGCCGAGGCACAGTAATTTGGCTCGGAAGGATGGGTGACTGCGTAGAAATTGGTCCTATGTAGAGCACCGTGTTAGTGACGAACGTCCCGTTCTTCCATTATAATACGAAAGTCACTCACAGTGTGATACCTTGCGAAGCCAACCATTGCACGTTCTCATCCGCAGCAGCATCCTCGTAGTCCTTCCCATGATGTCAGCAGAATTCATGATGATAAGAATGGGTCAGGCCCATACAATGTTCTCAAGCCAGATCTGATAGAAGCGATTGAAGACAAGACCCTCGACATTGGAGACGGGGGAGTATGGCTCGATTGTGGCCGCGGCCTTCTCGATCTCCGTTAGAGAAGGCTCAGAGACGTTGGCGAGCTGGGCGTACGCCACGGAAGCGGCTGCAAGCAAAGTGGCGGCGGAAGACTTCATTGTGACTTGATTTCCTCCAAGACGAAGTATCTTGACGATCACCAAGGAAAGGGTGGTAGATGAGAGAATGATCAGCGCTCAGTCAAAACATTGGAAAAGGACTCGCAGTCGTATATTTATAGGCTTCGGCAAGAGAGAAGCAGTGCATGTCTCCGAGCCACGCGAGACCATGTGCCCTGACCACGGGTTAGTACATAGAATGAGGTTCCACAGAGCGGATAGTTGGCCAGGGACCGTACTGCACGTTGAAGCTGAAATGGACCACGCGGATCAGGAAAGACCTTCTATTCGACAGTTTGCATTCTGGCCTATCCTTGTTCAATCCTGGTCTAATCGGCAGCTGGGGTGACATCGTTCGATCTCACTGCACCTTTCTCGCTTCCAGAATAGCAGAACAGACAAAGTGGGTAAGGAACATGGATTCTCCAATTCCCTTGACCACGTTCCTCGAAGATGGTGGAGAAGGCACACCTGAGATTATGCTCGGATTGTATAGGGCCACCTGGGTTGCCCCACGGGCTAATCCCCGATCGGTTCTAGTGAGCCCCTAACAGTGGGGTAACAACTGATAATAAGGGCGGGCTTCCGTAGCACGTGCGCCTGTCGCTGGTTCTGTGAGGACCCTTGAATGCAGGGCAGCAGGACATCCATCGGGATAGCTGCATCCTGCCCGCTTCTATCACTGCACCTCCTAGGATGCTAGACTACCTAAGGTGCTCACAGGGTCACTTGCGCCATATTTTCATCCAGCTCTGAGTCGAGTTTCTTACAACGACTGACCATGAACCTAAAATTGACCAATTACCTTTGCTATAAATGTAAGTAGAGTACCTAATAGCAATACCCGTGGCCGAAAGCCAGATTTGATGAGAGTTCTAGCTCTCAGCGGTCAGCTTCGGAATAAGATCTTGGCTACAAGGTTGGCTGCATCTCCAAGCCGGGCTCCAGGCCGGGCTCCTACCTTTCGACCATCTGCCCCAATTCAAGGCATTATGCTCCGCAATCTTTCAGGTGAACAGTTGCGATGAGCCCTGGACCATGTTATCTCATCTGCGAAGCAGTAATACTTGATTACCTGAAGCACCGGATTTTCAGTATCATAATGGTAGAACTTCAGGCGCATTGTCCTCGACCAGTCTAGCACATTGTTCACCTTCGACACTCAAGACAGCCTTATTCGATGAAATGCAAAGGGGTGCAAACTCTATGCAATCTTCGGTCGAGAATCACGTCCTGGCAGTCTGGACGAATGACACGCATAGCCTTGACCCCTCAAGTGCCCCTGGACATAGCATTGATTGGACTCGGCGCTCCAAGTTTGGCTGGGGAAATACCCCATACATTCATCGCACTTATTGGACAGCTGCATGCATATTATTTCCATGCCGTGCGGCTGGATAAGGGTTCTACGGCGCAGGAGAAGGTATTGTAGGGCTGGGGTTGTTGGCTAGCTAACTATATATTGTAGACATGAACAAGATTGAAACAATTTCACCATAAGTAAACTATTCTTGATATCGCCTTTGCAGGACTCAGGGTTTTGCCCAAAGATTGAACCCCACCGGTCAGTCGCATCTGATCCCTGATGCATTCTATATTTATTTAATGTTATCGCTGTAGCAGGGGTATGGGTGCATTTAAGAGTGACTAAGACATCAAACGTGGATACTGAGAGATTCCAGATCCTCATAGCGCTGGATCCATGAGGATCAGTTTCAGTCAAAGGGAAAATCGATGAAGATCTGTTGTCTACCTACAAATTTGTAGCACTCTATTGTCGAGTTGACAGAGCCAACGACATTTGCTTATCTTTCCATTGATGTCACGTGTATCGTGTCCAGCCTCGGCAGTTTCCCTTCCGGTCGGGGGTGCCGAGCGAACGAGCAATCAGCCTCGCTAGCATGATCACCTCCGATACAACATTCAGGTCTTTCCTGGATATTGCAAGGTTATCGACACGACATTACGAAGCCTTTCCACTTTTTTACAGATAGAACCGAGTCAACCCAACAATGATCCTGCGATGAGTTCTACAAACTTTGCCGCTGCTCAAGAGCGGGTTCTCGAACGTCGTCGTCTCCGCGAGGCCGAGGCTCGCTCCAGGCTTGCTGAACAGCAACAATCCCACCCTCTCAATCACGCCGCTCTTCAAAAACTCCCTTATCCTCTCAACAAACTACCTGCGTCGGGAATCTCCATATGGAATGCTATAAGAGGCCGCGAAGGACTGAGACCAGCTTATCGCGTCGGTCAGGTGGACGCCGAATTGCTGGATGAGGAGTTGCTGGGGTTGCTCAAAGGACAAGTGGGAGATGCATTGAAGTACTACGGTGTTCGTTTCCCAAAAGCCTGTGTACACTTGGTATAGTCGACATGCGCTAATTGTTACTCCCAATAGCCTCAAATGCGTGAAGATTGGTCCCACGAGATCCAATTCGCTCTTCGTGCAGCCCTGTTCAAGCTTTCGATCTGGGATCATAATGCCTCATACGGCGCGGCATTACAGAACCTGAGATACATTGATAGTCGGAGCAAAGGGCCTGTTCATTCGGCTCCCACCAAGTGGCAGAAATCTCTATATGGTCTCCTCACCGTTGGCGGTCGCTATGCTTGGGGCAAGTGGGAAAGTTGGTTAATAAGCCAAGAAAGTGGCTATGACGAGGTAAGTCAGAGCCCCTCCTTTGAGACCCATCCTGAACGTGGCTCATGGTTTAGCCATCACAAGAGGTACGGATGCTGTCGCGAATGACCGACCTTGTCTCCGCCACTCACTCAATCGCCGCATTTATCTCGTTCTTGGTATTCCTGGTCAACGGCCGGTACAGGACACTGGTTGATCGCATTATCCGCATACGCTTGATGCCGCCGTCTGCACAAGCAAGCCGCGAGGTGTCCTTCGAATATCTGAATCGCCAGCTGGTTTGGCACGCATTCACAGAATTTCTCCTGTTTCTCTTGCCACTTGTTGGCATAAGCCGATGGCGCCGATGGCTCTCTAGACTGTGGAGGAAGGCATTATCTGCATTCAAATCAGGTAATGAAGACGACGAGGTGGACGGCAAACAGGGAGAGCTTGCATTTCTTCCAGAACGAACGTGTGCAATCTGTTACAAAGAGAACAACCCTGCCGCCGCAACAGAAAGTGACGCCATTGCAGCCTCGGCGTCATCTGGAGGCATCATTGGATCTGCTCAGACCGATACTGCCAACCCGTATGAGGCTGTTCCTTGCGGCTGCATATATTGCTTCGTATGCATCGTACAGAAGCTGGAAGCCGAGGAGGGAGAAGGCTGGATCTGTCTCCGATGTGGTGAGGTTGTGAAAAAGTGCAAGCCATGGAATGGCGATGTGCTAGAAGACGCTCGTCCGCAATCAAGCTCAGGGAAGATTGTGGGGTTCGCTATGGATGGCACTGCAGACACGGACAGCACCCACCGAGGAACGGAGTCAGAGCGGCACGCGGAAAGGACGACCGCGTCGACGGATTCATCATCAGATGAAGTGATGCATGAGTCTGACCCCTGGTCTACGATTGAGAAGGGTTCTGTGGAAAATCTGGACAACAGCTAATCAGAAAGCACGAAATAACTGGTTTTTGGTGCGGGATGATTTGTCGAGACCTGCCAAATCTCTGACTACAATACGATCTTCTCACCTTGATGAGTCGCATATCTTGATGACTTGACTCAGGTTATTGGATTGACTACGATTTAAAGATACCCAGCAGTTTTTAGAATCTATTCTTGCTGCAGCGACTTGAACAGACGTCAAGCTCCAAGCTCCAAACACATGTAATAATACGGGTCCTCTATCATCAAGCATGAATAGGTATGTTTTGTAGGGAAAAGAAACAATTCCCAAAAAAAAGAAATCTTATTGGACGACATAATCTGTCCTTTTCATGACAACTTGGAAGCACTCATGCTTTGCACTTTTCCAACCCAAGCGACGACATGGTGGACCCACTCGGTCGAAGCTGTCTTCAAATCACAACGAGATTGATTCCGATTACCGCTAGAGTGCCGCGGATGTCGTCCTCCCCCCACAATCGGGCACTTCGCCGATGGCGGGGTCGCCGCACTTCCGATCGAGGAGCTCCCCCTCATAACCTTGAGCACGAAGCACGAAGAATAATTCTGCATCGACATCTTCGTCTATTCTCTGCCAGCCTCGCTCAGCTCTAGGTAGAACAGGCTTAGAGAAGTCCGCGCCAGAAGCTCTACAATACCAATACATTTTCATTCAGCAAGCTCCAACATGGACCCCACCAAGCCAGCCGGCGCCCCCTCCAACCTCCAAGAACCCAAATACATTGACTTCCCAGCTCTCCCAGCCGATGCGAAGCATGAGGATGGCACCCCTGTCTTGAACAGATGGTCTTCGACCATCACGAAGGGTCATGATTTTCCTGGTGCGAAGGTTCGTTAGCTTAATTCAGGTTCGCTCGCTGCATAGTCTCGGTCGCTGATACCAGATTCAATGTAGGCAATGCTTTATGCGGCAGGCATTCCCGACAACAATGCGATGACGAAGAGTCCCCAGGTGGGAGTTGCTTCTGTATGGTGGGAAGGCAACCCGTGCAATATGCATCTTCTAGACTTGGGCAAGACGGTGAAGAAGGCAATCACAGAACAGGGTATGATCGGGTGGCAGTATAACACAGTCGGGGTGTCGGACGCAATAACTATGGGCAGTGAAGGTGGGTACATTCAGGTCCTTGCATGAATGAGGCTGTTACTGACTGGAAGATAGGCATGAGATTCTCCCTCCAGACCCGCGAATTGATCGCCGACAGTGTCGAGACTGTCACCTGCGCTCAGTACCATGATGCTTGCATTGCCATTCCAGGATGTGACAAGAATATGCCTGGTGTAGTAATGGGAATGGCCCGACACAATCGCCCCTCAATCATGATTTACGGAGGTACCATTCAAATTGGCTATTCCAATCTTCTTAGGAAGCCTATTAACGTGTCTTCCTGTTTCGAGGCCGCTGGTGCTTATGTATACGACACCTTGCGTCAACCGGACGATGGAGGCGACACTAGCAAGACTAAAGACGAGATCATGGATGATCTTGAGAGACATGCCTGTCCCACTGCAGGCGCGTGCGGAGGCATGTTCACCGCCAACACAATGGCCACAGCGATTGAGTCTATGGGTCTTTCGTTACCCGGTTCCTCCTCCACGCCCGCTTCCTCTCCGTCAAAAATGCGGGAATGTGTCAAGGCAGCGGAAGCTATCAAGATTTGCATGGAGAAAGACATCAGACCGAGGGATCTGTTGACAAAGCGCTCTTTTGAAAATGCCCTCGTCATGACAATGGCTTTGGGAGGAAGTACCAATGGTGTCCTTCACTTCCTGGCTATGGCCCGGACAGCCGGGGTTGATCTGACCCTGGATGATATTCAGAGAGTCAGCAACAAGATTCCCTTCATCGCTGACCTTGCCCCCAGTGGAAAGTATTACATGGCGGACCTGTACGATATCGGAGGTATCCCGTCCGTTCAGAAGCTACTGATTGCAGCGGGCCTGCTCGACGGCGATATACCTACGGTGACTGGCAAAACTCTGGCTGAGAATGTGGCTTCTTTCCCATCACTGCCGGAGGACCAGGTCATCATCCGGCCTCTCAGCAATCCAATCAAGTCAACAGGACACCTTCAGATCCTTCGAGGCAACCTTGCCCCTGGAGGTGCCGTAGCCAAGATCACTGGCAAAGAGGGTACGCGCTTCGTCGGCAAGGCACGGGTGTTTGACAAGGAACATTCTCTCAATGAAGCTCTGGACCAAGGCAAAATCCCCCGCGGCGAAAACCTTGTCATTGTGGTTCGTTACGAAGGCCCCAAGGGTGGGCCAGGAATGCCAGAGCAGCTCAAAGCCAGTGCTGCGCTCATGGGAGCTAAACTCACCAACGTGGCCCTCATTACAGATGGGCGGTACTCTGGAGCCAGTCACGGGTTTATTGTAGGTCATATTGTACCTGAAGCCGCCGTTGGGGGACCGCTCGCAGTGGTTCGTGACGGCGATGTCATCACCATCAATGCGGAGACAAACGAGATTAGCATGGATGTCTCTGACGAGGAACTTCAACAACGGCTGAAAGAGTGGAAGCCTCCGGCTCCCAACGTCACACGGGGTGTGTTGGCCAAGTATGCCCGACTAGTTGGAGATGCTTCCCACGGAGCCATGACGGATCTTTTCTAGATCCAGAACATGACACTTGTTGTCTTTTCTTGTACAATTCAATTGACTGATGGTAAGCGGTGAGAGCAAATGAAGACCTATTGCGATATATCCCGTTTACTCGAGCCATTCTTTTCGTAGTGCAGTGCAAGTCGTCTTCTAGATCCCTTAGGTTCCCGCATCCGGCTTTGATCGTAGGCGTATGCCTGACTGACCTGAGCCTGAAACATCTATCACATAAACAGAACCCTGTGTGGGTTAATTTGACATGTTCTCTGAAAGCCTGATGATTTACAAGCTTAGCGATGCAGTGTTCATGCCACTTTATTCAGGCATACACTTATGCTTAGTCATGCCACGGGATGCGGCGTGACGCCATGAGTGGATGTGATTCATCGCCGGCAAATTTGCGACGAACAAGAATTCCAGATATCCTCCACGGTGTTGCCTCCGAGTCTCTGACAGGCTCGTTTGCGTTCGGCACTTCCAGACTGATCTCCGCCGAAAACTGAGTTTCTTTCCGAATCTCTTGCCTCCTGAATCGATTCCCGCTCCGCGGTTTAGTCCCTCTTGTTAAAGTTCGGATCGCATTCGGCGAATGGTGTTGTGATTTTGGTCGTCTTTGCTGTCTACGCAAGGTATGTTCCTCACTTCTCCAGGCTGCCCACGGTACCTTGCAGCCTGTGCTTGTATACGTCCTCCGCCCTCGCGTAACAGCTCTCTGGACTCACGTCGGCACATTGACTAATAACTTCCAATAATCAGTTGCGACGTAAAGACCTATTGATACCTTGCGACCCGTTGGAACAACGAATAGTCCCATGTGACCCGTCGGGTCCTCGTTTGTGTTTCGTCGCCCAGGATTTGAGCATATTGTCGTCATCGGAAGCCCCTGATATACGAGTACCACTCCTTGCCGGATCCCATCAGAGGCCGGTGGAGCTGTCAGATTCTCTGGGGGTGCCTAAATCCAGCCAGGACACCAACGTGTTGGGTATAAGCCCCTCATTGGTGCATTCGACTGGGGGCGCACTTAAGAGTAGTCACTAAGAACGGCGGCTTGGAATCGCTCCTTACTTTCGACAACCTTTTCAGTCCGGCGCAGGTCCGTAGCGCAGATCCATCTTACGGTGATTGCCTCGATTGGCCCGCTTCTTTGCCTCACTATCGATCCGGAAACACAGTCTAGCTTCCAAGGAGGTGCTGTACTTCTGGCTCGTGGAGGGTTCGATTCGCATTCCAGAACGGATCCTCGTCACTCCCGATTCTTGGTCTGGACGCTGGTCGACAGGGAACCCCCGGCACTGGGCGTTGGGGCTTGGAAGGACGGTGAGCGGGTGAAACAAGCTCTCTTGGTCATCAGCCATATAAGCCTGGGAAGCCTCGCAGAGGCGGCTGCCTTCGTTGGGGATGGATTCTTCAGTTGTACCACCGACTTTCCCTGCCACATCCCGTCCTGGTATCGTCGAAAGTGGTGCGCTTTTGCGTGCATGGGACACGGTCTACTCGACATTCTCTCGCTCGGGCATTTCTATTTGTCTCTCTCATCTTACTCAGATCTCTCGTTACGATGGAACTTTGAATTGGGGAAAGATTGTGTTCCTTACTACCTGCATTGTCACGATGGTCGGATGTGGTTTCGTTACCTCAATTTTGCGGCGAAAGGGCTGGGGAGCAACCCCAGCTAAGAAGCGCTTTCGCCGCGCTCTACGCAAAGACTACTCGAAGCGCTCTGCTGGTACTGTAACTTCATCGGAAGACGAAGACTATGATAGTACTGGCTCCCTGAGCCTCGGCTCCAATGAGACCATATTAGAAAAACGGGAAGCACCTCAGCATCATGAAAAGCGTGAAAATGGTGAGTGAACTAACACCCTAGCTGCCCCCTTCGGTGACTGACTGGTTGAAAGCAGCGCATGACACGGACCCGGGTCTGTTAAAGAAACACTCAACATACCTGTCATATACAACATCAGTTGCGACCTATCCGTCTATTAGAACCTTCAACCGACCGCATCCGCAGATGGATAAGCTTCCCACCAAGCCTACTCCGATTCCGCTGTTGGTTTTTGTACATGGCCTGGGCGGATCGTTGGCACAGTTCAACCATCTCCTGACCAGCTTGTCAAACATTGGGCCTTGCTTTGGTATTGATCTTCCAGGATGTGGATTGTCGTCATTCAATCCAGATTCCTGGGATGCATATACCGTTGAGGCGCTGGCAGAGCTGCTGGCAACAGCCATCGAGCAACACCGCGATAAGGATGCAGGGCAAGGTGTGGTCTTGATAGCTCATAGCCTGGGCTGCTCCCTGTCTGCGCTATTGGCGTCTTCCACTTCTAGGATTGGCTCCAGTCTGAAGGAGCATATCTTGGGCCTTGTTGCTGCCTGCCCCCGTGCGACGCCTCCACCTGCCCATGACGTTGCCAAGTTTCGTCGCCTACTTCAAATCCCCGGCCCGGTCTTTGACCTTTGGCGCTCCTGGGATCGACGTGGTGGCCTGCATAGCAGCAGTGTCAACCGACTTGTTGGTGCGGCAGCAGATCCAGATACAAGGGAGCTCCAAGTACGCTACAACAAGCAGAGCAAAACCCCGGTATGGAGGCGGATGGCTTGGGGAACGCTCCCTACCTACGATAAGTCTGGTAATCCTGTTGGGGGTATTCCGGGTGAGGCGGTGTGGGCAGGTGTCGAAATTCCTGTCTTGCTCGTGGCTGGCGAGGCTGATGCAGTGAACAAGCCCATCGAGCTCCAAAAGATACTCGAATTTTTCGGGCAGAGCGGGCGTAGTGTTGGCGACGGCGCCGATACCGTAACGCCGATTCCCGATGCCTCCGCAATAAATGACAAGGCTCCCGCGTCCTACGACCATATGGCACATGAGGAAAGTTTCGGACTCGAGGCGCAAGTTGCCCAGAAGAAGTTGACAAATACGACGGACGAAGCGACCGGGCACCAGCGTGCTGTGAAGACTGTTATCCTCCCGGCGCCAGCATCTCATGCACTGATCTACGACCGTGCAACTTATCGCACACTGGCCGGAATAATCCAAGACTTTCTTAACCAGCATATCGACAATCGTCTAAGCATGGGATGGCAGTTACAATATCTCAACACCTCCGGCAAATGGGACGTGAAGAATCTGGCCAAATGGAAAAAGGTTACGCCTGTCTCACAACGCATTGATGATACTTTTGTGGCCATGAAGATGCTGCGTGAAGTCGACGAGGAGCACAATCCGGTCCTGTTCTCGCAGACGTACCGTGGCCGCATCTATGCTGTGGTTGACATTAGCTATGAGAATCCGGTGTACAACCCAGCATCGATGGAAAAGGGCGGTATCCACTACCACAAACATCCGACGGTGTCCAAGATACCTCCCACGCCGGATGAGGTTCGAGATTTCGTTGCCTTGATCGATCGGCTGCAGAATGAGATCACCGAGATGATGGAGAAATCCGACAATCCGGAAGGCCCACGTCCAGTGGTTGGAGTTCACTGTCACTACGGATTCAATCGCACGGGATTCCTGATCGTCTGCTACCTGATCGAACGACGCGGATTCAGTGTCCAAGCGGCGATTGAAGAGTTTGAACGACGACGTCCACCGGGAATCCGACACGAACACTTTATCGATACCTTATTCGTGCGGTACTGCGTCGGGCTGAAGCGAGCGCCTACGCTTTGAGAAGAATTGATGTGGATTTGGATTTGGCGCTGGCATTGACTGGCACTGGCGTTAGGAACTGGGTTTGACGATTGATGACAAGGCTACCATAATTAGATTGTATATTACGGCGATTGATTTCACACTGTATGATAATAGAGTTCACCTACTCTGACATAATGATGAGTACGAATTACAAAGCGTTTGTTTGGATAACTAATGTTCGTTCGGCTAATTGTAAGGTACGAAGGATGCGGGAAGTAAATCAGGCATGAACATTGTCCTGCCTGAAGATGCGGGTAGCAATCAGTTTGATATGTCGGCCTCAGGCACCCACCCCTTAGGGTACGGCTAATCCCGAAAAGGCTAAGCGAAGCGCCCACAGCCAACCGAGAGGCACTACGAGCGCGAATGTTGTGTGCGAATCCGAAATTTCGAGGCTTGAAACCTGCCGACTCCTCAACGACGACAACGACGACCCATCCTCCCACCTCGTCCCTCTCTTCAGCTCCCTCTTCGATTTCCCCGTTCGAGGTCCACAAGTCGCAAAAATGGGTGGTGTCACCGTTCGCGATGTCGACGTAAGTCGCTTCCTTTTGATATGATGATCATGATGATTACGGCGAGGCGTCGGTCGGGGGGCATGGATAGCATGATATGGCATGGCACGGGCACAGACGAAAGAGAGAGGCATATTGCACACAAGCGGGCAGCACAATTCGACGCACGGAGCGATCACTACAACAAGACAATATGCGACAAGACAAACAAGGGAGCATGGAATCAAAACGAATCGGCGGTACTTCGGACAACGCGGGTGTCTTCTACGGAAAACAACGCAGGATAGTCCACGAAAAAAGCCAGGGATATGTAAATGGAACGAACCCCCGCGATCGGACGAGAAATCAATATCTTGCAGCCATATGTCTCTCCGCAATATATGAATTTTCACAAGCAAAAACGGTTTTGCGATTTGAGCTGAGCGATCAATCACCCCGCGAAAGACTTCATCTCTTCTCCCAAGTGTGCCTATGCCATGCCATATCTGCCTGAAATGCCGCACGAACCACGACAGGCTTCACTGCAATGAGTGATGTTTGAGAAGACCGATAAGAACGGGTCGGCTAACGAGTCTTTGACCACACAGGCGCAGAAGTTCATCGCTGCCTACTCTGCGTTCTTGAAGCGTCAGGGAAAGCTCCCCATTCCTGGTTCGTTCTATACCACACCACCGATAACTTTCGCAATCTCGCGAGGAAGCAAACGACTTGGATCAGAGAACTAATCTGTTTTCGCCATTAGGATGGGTTGACACTGTCAAGACCTCCGCCTCCAACGAGCTCCCTCCCCAGGATGCCGACTGGTACGACATTCTTCACCTCTGACAACTCGTTCGTATCCGGGCAAAGATCTGACCGAGTCTCCGTTTTCTACTCTATAGGTACTACGTCCGCGCTGCTGCCGTCGCCCGTCACATCTACATGCGCAAGACCGTCGGTGTTGGCCGCCTCCGCAAGGTCCACGGTTCCGTCAAGAACCGCGGTTCCCGCCCCAACCACCACGTCGATGCCTCCGGCTCCGTCGACCGCAAGATCCTCCAGTCCCTCGAGAAGATCGGTGTCCTCGAGACCGATGAGGAGAAGGGTGGCCGCCGCATCACCCAGAGCGGCCAGCGTGATCTTGACCGTATCGCCAAGACCACCGTTGACGAGGAGGAGGACGACGAGTAAATTAGTCCCGCCGGATTTCGATTTTAAAATAATGAAAAAGTCCTGATGTTAACCCTCGTCCTTTTTCTTCTTCTAACTTCTTTTTCTCTTCTTCGCCTTTTTCATCCTTCGACGTGGGTTTGAGAGGAGTAAAAAAGGAAAGTGGGAAACTCAGGGGGAGGGAAGAGGCGGATTTGGGTTCAACAATCCTTTCTCACCCTACAAGTCGACTTCATGTATAACTTCGTGTGTGTGGCAGACGGTTAAAGGGTGCGAGGCAGGCCAACTTTTTTTCATGGGAAATCTATTTTCGGATGGAAGATGATCTCAGCGTGTGGGCAGGGTACTCGAAGATGGCCAAGACAACAATGGGAACTAGAGAGAGGATGAACTTTGAATGATGGTTTTTATTTTTTTGACATATATCTCCCCCTCGAATTTCAGTTGTTCATGCCGGGCATTGGCAAGTGAACGAATTCCTTTCCCTTTCTTTTGACTTGACCCTGTTATCCTGGGGGGATAGCATCACCATGGGATCATTGTATGCAATTAAGTTGTAGTACATATTCGTCTGGGGAGAATTTCCGTCGGCCCAGCCCAGATGCCATAGTCTCGATGGATGGTATCGCAGTATGAAGTTGGCAGGCTGGGTTAATTATAGTCAATGCGTCTGCGCTCGAGCCATGCAGAGACCACCAAGTCTGGACTCCGTCGAGTGGTGGTGGTCCGGAGGCGCAACCCTGTTTAGCGGGCTGGCTTCTTGCAGACTGTAAGTTAGCAACAAGTGCCTCTCGTACACTACGCTCTTGTTCTTTCCGCCGTTGCTGCCTCGCTTCCCTGCATGCATGAATCTACAGTACACACCTTCCTCCCCTTACTTACGCCCCTATCAAAACAGACTATCCAACGAATTGACCAGTGAATCAATTGATTTGAACCGAACCAAACCCAATATCGAAACCCCAACTCTTCTTAACATCCATTCTATAGTTTCCCACTTCCCAAACCCGTCTTCCATTCCTCTTCACACCAAAGCCAAAGCCCCAAAGCCCCCAGCCCCAAGGACCCGAAAAGAATCCATTCACCCAATCCAACCAGGGCAAACAGTATAATCAATCCCTCTACTTCCTCCCGGACTGCGCACTAGGATCCTACAATCAAAAGCCAGTTAGTCCCGAACCCAAATCCATCAGAGAAAAAAAAAAAAACAGAAAAGAAAAAAAACCCACCAAATAAACCTGATAAAACCGCATCCTCAATTCCCCCTCCGCGGTGTCCTCACCACCACCACCAAAAACCACCCTCCCCGCCCACGGCACCTCGACCTCATTCCCCGGATCATTCCGCAGAACGTACTTGACCGTCCCGTAGAGCATGAGCTCGCCCTCCCCGCCGAAGTACACCCGCTCCGGGGTGTGTTTGCGCGAGGCGACGTGCGTCCAGAGGCCGTGGCGGAGGGTACGGATTTCTTTTTCCCGGGGATGTGTTAGCCAGCGGTGGGGTTGGTGTTTGTTTGAGTGTCTGAATTAGGTTCTTGAGAGGCAGGAGGGGAGGGGAGACTTGGGGTAGGATGAATGTTAGGGACAGGGGCAGGGTTACCGTCACGTCCCTTGGCCGTCTTCGGCCCCATGATCAACGTGGCATCTTCCGTGAAGTTCTGGACGTATTGGTCGTGGGCGGATTCGGTGTCGCTGGTGCGGTAGAAGGATTCCAGGAAGGAGATCATCGCCGCGGCGCGCGGGGGGGAGAGGGTCGCGTGCGAGGCGATTTGGTAGGTCATTGTGTTGGATGGGTTTCTTTATGGGGGAGCTGGCTAATGTGATGAGGAGGTTGGGTTTTGTGCATATGTTTGAAGTTATAGATTCGATTTCGATATTTAGTTTTGGGGTACATACACCGTGGTGGAGATGATGTCAGGTTACTTTGTAGTCATGTAGAAAAAGTGATCGGGCCGATGAAGGGGGGGGGGGATTGCTATCCGATGGGAGAAGGGTGCATCCGACGGTTTGTGCGGATTGAACAAGTTCATACTGTTGGAATTGTCCGCGGGTAATTTGTCCAGTTGCCGTGTTCAGATTGACTTGGGACTGATTCATTGCGGTATTCGAGGGCTTTGTTTACGATCATTGCGCGATGTGCTTGCTATGGTAGGCTTAACATGAGATTCGCTGCTGCTACCTCACACAAGCAAATATACTACGACGGATTGCCGGAAAATAAATCAGGATGTGCATGCTGCTACTTCTCCGAATATGTACAAAGACTTCTACCAAGCGTCAAACCTAAACCTTCCGAAAATCCTCCTCTTGCTGCTCGAAATCCTCCCAACTCGCCCGGTCCGTGCCATTAGGCCGGCTGGCTCGGATGAAACTGTTCTCCACACCATCGATTTCCGTGATGGGCCGCACAATCTCAATGTCCCCTCCATAGGCCTTGGAGTACCAGATCTCAGTGAGGGCTTCCTCTCCCGCTTGTTCAGGAGCCGCGTAGAGGTGGGGGAATCGGGCCTGCATGATCTTCAGCACGGTCGAAGAGATTCGATCCACGCTGTCGCAGTGCCGCAGCTTGAAGAACTCGGGGGGCTGCGCCGCGCGCATTTGCTCTTGGATGGCGTCCGAGTACTTGCCAACGGCAAAGAGCAGCAGATCATAATGCATCAACGAAGCTTTGCCGTGGTAGGAGCCGCCCTGCTTCGCGCGGTGGTAGAGACCCGTCAATGCTGCAATTGCTCCCATACATCCGGTGCCGTAGTCGGAGATGGGGAACGGGGGAACCATTGGGGCCGAGTGACCCATGAATTCACCCTGTGCCCATGCAATACCACTCACCTGTAAAGCAAGTCAGCTGTGGTTGTGAGACGCGAGACAATGAACAAGGCGACTTACGCAGTCGGCAATCTGTTGCCAGCCTGGGCGGCCAGCCCATTCACCCTCGTATCCAAAGCAGTTCTCATTCACAACCACAATACCCTTGCCGCGCTTCTCAGCCAGTGCGGCAAGTGCATCCGGTCCGTACCCTAGCTTCTCGAGAGCCCCTGGGCGGTATCCGTCCACGAGAACATCGGCGTCAGCCAAAAGCTCTTCGAATTGACGCCGACCGTCCTCAGACTTGAGATCCAAGTCAGCAGCATGCTTGCCCATGTTGCCGTCCACCTGGAAGAAGGGAACATCAGACAGCTTAGGGCTGGTGATCTTCAAAACGTCGGCACCATACTCCGACAAGATACGTGCCACCGTAGGCCCAGCAATGATACGGCACAGCTCCAGAACCTTAACCCCTTCGAGGATCCTCTTGCTGCCGCTGCGACTAGCAGGGAATGGTGTGGGAGGCAGGTCGCCGCTCAAACGGGTCACCTTCCAAGCCGGTTCCTGGACGTTGAGTTTGCCCTAATCGATATATGTCAGCGTGAATGTCCTCTTTAAAGGACCGAGAATCCGTACATGGGGAGTTTGGATAAAGTCCTCGTATTTGATTGCCGTCACACCGGCCTGTCTTCTCTCCTTGTTCATCTCCTCTAACTCCGCCGCGGAGTATTTCTGCACATGGCTCTCGATGACCTTGATGATCTCCTCATAATCGGTCAGATCCGGCCGTTGACCCTCCAATCCAATCATGTTCAGCGTCGTGGTAGCCTCTAGTGAGCCATGAATGTGGAAGTATTCGTCCTTGTTCTTGGTCTTGTACAGATTCGCCGACATCCGACGGTAGCCGTTCGACTGGGCTGCGAGCAAGTCCGTGTCTAGGACAATCAGCCACACAAACACTGACGCCTCAGGGAGGAAGAATATGCCCACCTTTCAGCTTCTTCTTCACTTCCGGATCCAACTTGGACAATCCATCCACCTTGGCCATGTACGCCTGGCAACCAAAAGCGGTGGCCCGCTCGAGGCTCACCTTGACATTCCGCGCTTGATTTGATAGTCCATACCGCAAATCAGCAATTGCGCCTGCCACTGCTCCCTCCACACCTTTCAACGCAGCCAAGGTCTCAGTCTCTTTGAACGGGATCGGGTAATATATCTGGTCATGGGTGGACGTGAATGACACAGCATCCCTGCGCTCCGCTACTTCCGCAGGCAAGCTGAGACATTCGGCTTGGTCGCAGAGATGGTTGAAAATGCGACCCGCCTCGCGGACAGGCGAGTATTGGACGCCGCTCTCCGAATTGGCCGCCATACTCTCGTTATATGATTATAAGACTAACCTTCTTGAAATCCAGACCGATATCGTTGGAGTCGCGCTTCCTGCAGACGGCAAGTACTTCCGCAAGTCAGTATGAGGGAAAGCAAAAAGGAAACCCACGCGGTCTATCCGGGGAGGGGGAAACGGACCCAGATATATGTAGATCAAGGCCCGCCAGAAAAAGCGACGTTTCGGCAAAGGAGTTTCTGGATTGAGGAGAAAGCAAGCAGCCCTTCTACTTTTTGACGGTTACGGTGGGTTCAGTCGCCCGGGTCCATTCCGAGGGATTGTCCCGTCGGGTGGATGCACGTCTGGACGACCGATCGGCAAGCACAAATTCAACGGCAGAGCCCATTATGCCTGCTGAAGATTGTACGACGACAGGCAAAACGTTCTCTCTGGTCCTTGGGTAATAGCATCGGGAGAGGGGGACTCTAACCCCGCAGGGGAGAGAGGCGGATTGATTTCCGAAGGGTGGGAATGAGTTGGAGAAGTGCGTTTTCGGAAGTGAGGCCGATAAGATCGGAAGCGGATTACGGTCCGGTCAGATGACGTCGCCACGGGAGCTGTGGATTGGTGCCTGAGTTATATGGCAGCATCAGGCACCAGCAACTTCGCCGTGCTGTGGCTTGAGCTGCTGGCCGACAAATACTCATACTTGAATACTTGATAAATTGAATGATTCTTCAATGCTACCTTGTGAATAGCCACTAACTTCTCAAGTACAATTGTTTCTGAACGTAATGAAACATATTTACCCTGCGCAACCTTCTTACCACACCAGTGCTCGCTTCAAGAAGATTTATCTCCACATGACATGAAAGGTGAATGAGATGTAGACTGAGAGGCTGATGGCGATGAAACAACTCTACTACAGCCAACATGGAACCTCCAGACGACCTGAGACGTATTGATTTCCCTCGAGACATTCTACCTGTCTTAAACTAAATTTCAAAACCTATTTGCAAGAGAAGGCATTGCAAGACATACATGTCTTTGTCGGTGAGCATTGGACCTGCCCCTTTGTGCAGTACGGTAGGTATGAAGGGGAAGAGCATGTCACAGACGCATGCCGTGGGGTGATCTCTTATTGAAATATATCTCAAGCCGGAAAATGTATCAGTTAAGCGTGAGGGCCGGTCTAGTTTGAATGATGATTGACGTGTCTTACCCTCTTGTAGTATGCAAATCCACCCCCGATCTATTGCCGTACCTTTTTTTTTACCTAACATTACATGACAGGTTCTGTAAGCGTCGTACTCCAAGTACATTCAAGGGACGAGTCCTATACTTTATTCAAAACCGATTCAATAGAAACCACAGGTTGCAAAGAGCTGCAATGCATTGAATGCAACGAAGGGCCGATTGAAGGCCTATGGAGACAGCCCATCTTTGTGACATCCTGCGGCTGGATCAGCCCCCAACCTTGGGTCTGTCAGCCATTGACTTACTACCCAAAAGCTGCTGACATTTAAGCTCGCAGTGATGGACCGTGTAGTCAGCACACAGTGGCATTTTCTGAACCGAGTTATAATTAATGCAACCATGAGAGATTTTTAGGATAGGCTTTTTGGATCAATAAGATTCCCTTTGAGAATCACGTTGATCCAGGCTAAAACTGGTGCCAAAATTTTGAGGCCACCCTCGACCACCGGAAAGTTCTTCAGGTTGGTACGGAGTACTCAATACTACCTTCGAATACTTCGATACTACACAGTATTGACGACAAGGATGGATGGCAAATCACCCACCCGTCTTCTCTCTTCTGATGGAGGGGGGAAAGGCAAGCAGCTAAGCAAGCCAGTCAGCCAGTCAGCATAGAATCCTACGGCGCATGTACAGTGCCCGATGCCCACGTGCCGTCGTCATGGCAGATTGTCGCCTACCAGAATTCGACCAGGCAAGGCGTACGTACGTACGGTAGGGTTCCTGCCCTCACCAGGTTTTCTAGCCAAACCTACATTGTAGACGCCGGGGGGGTGGGAGAGGGGCGCACGGGCACGAGGTACCAGCCTTGATATGTCCGTCGATCGGTGGAATAAAGTGGAAATTGTTTGCTCGAACCGGAGACCAATTTACATCATCGCAAGTTGATTGTTGGGAGTTTTGGGGGAGTAGAGGAGGGGTAAACTAGTGGGCGGGTATCGCAGGGTTAACTACCACTCATTAGTCTCTTGGGACTCTGAAGCTGTTTGAATTGTAAATTCACATTGAAGGAATACATAGTGCAATGTAGTTAGTGCGGGGGGGAGCAAGCTGATGATCGACTGACTAGTGGGATATTCATGATCATCATCGTCAGTCAGTTCGTTCTTCTTCCTCTCTGTGCGACTAGCACCGGAGAACGGTGTACCTTGGACTTCCTTGGACCTTGATAAGGCCGATACTTTGGAGGTACACAGCCCATACCTCCGATACGGTAAGAGAACAGCGGCAGCGATACCAGGGCTGGTGGCCCCGGATCCTCCCGGTGCGATTTCAAGCGGGCCCAACTGGTGTCCACCAATCCTCGAGCCCACGCCCCAGCCATGGGACTTAGCCCTTAGTTACTCGACTTCGTATGGACCCCGTAAAGGTCCGCCGGTATGGGGCGGCATGACGGGGGGAGGGGGTTTGGGAGAAAGAGGAGAAAAGATGCTTTGTCCAAGGAAATCCCGCGATAAGAGAGAGGGTCACACTCAGTTCATTCACTCTGGACTGGGATTCTTAAGGCTGGTCATTTTCTCCCATTCCCTGGCACTTGAACCCCCCTTTCAAAAAGTAACTGAGAAGCACAAATGACCCGAAGAGCAAAAGCGATAACACTGGTACTTCCTGAGTACTTGACCGCCGTGTATCATCTGCAATAGAACGGACATTTCCTTCTAGCACGACTTGCAGTGCTGCTGCTGCTGCTGCTGCTGCTGCGCCGGCTGACAAGACATTCCATTGTGCTATTCTTACTATTCTTACCTACCTACTATTATTATTGACGGACTGCAACCACCAACTCCTTGCGTTCCCTCCTCCTTTCCCTTCCCCTCCTCCTTCTTTCCTTCCTCCTTTTATTTTTTCTTTTCTTCGACCGAAACTCTTCCTCTTGTCTGAATTGTCAAGGAACTTTTCCCATCGACTCTACGTGGTTTCTTGCCAACAACGTGTGAACATTGTTCCCCTGGATCTACTTGTCTCCCACCCGTCGCGTTCCTCCCCTTATCAACCAACCCTACGCCCCTCTTAGCGCGTCGCATCGCATCTGGCTTGCATACTAAGTCCGCTCACCGTTGCGTCTGCACCTCTACGATCGGCTGTCAACAGATTACTGTGAGTCAAAGTCCCCAAGCCACCGATTTTCACCAACCACACTTTTTTCCCCTTTACTTATATCAGTCATTCTTGACCCTGAATCTGTGGCTGTTGGAGGGGGTTTGCACTGGGTCTGGAACTTTAGTCATCTCCCTCCATTTATTGTTCCTATTGTTTGGTTTGCGCAGCTATGGTTGGTCGATCATTCATCTGACTCATGTGATTACAGATCAACAATTAGCCACCAGGTTGAATAGAAGCATTCCTCTCCCTGTGTTCGAAACACCCATCATGGCTTTCCAGAATACCACGTCCAGCATCGCTATGGCCCTTGCTAGTAAGACCGCCTCGGTTGACATCCCCAAGCCGCGTCCCGGCTTTCCTATGGCTAGTCGCGACTCGACTCGCCCCGGGGCTCCTGCTTTGTTGCCCACACCGCCCAACTCTATATCGCCAACTTTGCCGCCTCAGGGCTTCAGACGAGAGGATGTCGGTCAGTCGGGTTACTCTCCGCTTGCCTGTTCGCATGTGGACTCGGACGTCGACCTTGGAGATGTTACGGCGAATTCCCTCGCTGCCCATGATCTCGATAGCACCGGAGCTATAACCCCTGGAATGTTGGCCAAACACCATCTTCCGGCGATTATGCTGCAGCATGGACCCTTGGCGATTCGCCACCTGATGGGTTATCTGACTTCTTCTGTCCCCGGCTTCTCGGGTATCCCTCCGGCCAAAGCACGGAGACTGGTTGTGGCCGCACTGGAGGGTCGAGGGTTCGACGAGAAAAGCGCTGTCGCTCAAAGCAATGTGATCTTCGAGAAGGTTGGCTGGGGTCGCTGGGATGCACGGCGTCGTGGTGAACCGTTGCGCAGAGACTCGCAACGAATGAACATGTCGCCCCCCTCCAGCCCCTCGGACACGTTCTCCCAGCGGGGCATGCAGATTCCCACCACCAAGAGGGACAGCCTGCAGCCCTATGGCACCAGCGTAGCGGGTGATTCCGCCGTGTTTTCCTATTCAACCGAGATGGAGTTTGGCCGTCCCGGTATCAGCATGTTGGAAGAGGAAGCTGACAAGATGTCTCTGGACGGCAACGATCGCGAGTACTGCTCATCTTCTGAGGCCCCTGACGACGAAATGCCAATCGAGGATTGGGGGGAGGAAGATGTGACAGATGAGGAGGATTGGGCGCAGATAGGGGCTGATGCTCTACGTGCAAGATCCCTCAACGCCTCAGGCGGTATTGTCTACGGCAGCGGCAAGTCGCCTCAACTCCGTGGAGGAGGGCCGGCAACCTCATCTTTAGCAAAATCCGCACCGCACAATTTTCCTATTCAACAGCTTGGGTTCAATCCACCTGATAATGCCATGAATGACGGGGATGAGCGCGCTGCAGCTGCAGCCGCATTGTTACGGCTTGGATCGATGTGATGTGGCTCGATGGCCAGTGACGACCGGCCATCCTAGGGTAACTTTGCATGACCTATTGTGAGGCTGGACCATTCCTTTCTTAGTACATACATTTTTGCTTTCGAATTTCATCTCTGGAGCCACCAGCATGCTGCACGAACACCACCGGGTCGACTGGTTCGATCCCGGGTTGCATTGGGAGTTGGCTTGGCTTATCTGGGATTGACATGAAGGCGTTTTTCTTCTTTTGACGGCATCGCTACGATGCCAAACGTCGTCAGCTCAACACTGACAGACGCGCAGTCAGCTTTGACATTCTGTCAGGTGATGGCATGGACTTATGACTATGATACCTCCGCTGCTATCTTGACAGCACCTTCGTTTCCTGCATTGAGCCCTCCGGGGCCTTCAACACATTTACAGTACATATATACTTGATGACACGGGATAATCACCACTCCACATTGTGCATATTTTTGATGGGTTCAGGAAACAGTCAAATGGGGTCTACAGGTTGCCTGTGAGACCGTGTGAATATTATATATAGACATTAATACAAACACCTATGCTAGTCATAGACCAAGGTTATCTTTCAAGTTTTGCTTGTTGTATATTCTTGCCTGGTTAGGATTGAGATAATAGACTACTTGTTGCTCACCATCACGTTAAGAGGATTTATTATAGATTGGTTATCAATAGGTAAGCAGTAATCATATTGAACAGCTTATCACATATACAGGTTGAACCAAGTGCTACCTTGGAACTCTCAACCTCCGCAACAGGCAAGCAAAACCACCCCCCAACAACCAGATACTCACTTTTAGCCCTACAACCTCCGATAGTTGACACGAACAAAAACCCACCCACTCACCCCAAACACCCAAAAACAAACTACAAGCAACAAAGATAAGATCCTAGAACTCCCCCCCCTGGCCCAACACAGCAAGACACGTTCAATATTCAAACCCCCTCCCCCCACCCACTAGATACATGACCCCCCTCCCCCCACTATTGTTTCTTGATCAGAAGAGAAGAGGAGAGGCTCACTTATCATGCACATCATTAATCTTCTTCCACACCTCCGCCTCCACCTCGGCCAATTTGGTCCCCGCAATGCGGAGCCACGACTTGGCGTTCGCCACGATGCTGCTTCCCGCCGCGCCGTCCTCGTCGAGATCCACCCGCCCCGAGACGCCGGGGTCGTAGTGCAGCGGGAGTTGTTGGGACGTCGCCGTCGCCGTCGCTGCCGGGCGCGAGGTCGTTGTGGCGCTGGTCAGAGGCTGGTAGAGGGAGGGGTAGGGGGTTGTTGTTGCGTTGGGGATAGCCGTGGGGGCTGGGTTTGGGGGGCTGTATTGGTGTTGTGTTGTGGTGCTGTATGGGACTTGTTGTTGTGGTTGAAGGGCCGATGGGGGTGGGGGGTTTGTTGTTGATGGGGTGATTGCTGTGATTGCTGGCGCTGCGGTTGTTTGTGGTGGTTGTGCTGGTGGTTGTGCTCCTGCTGCTGTGGCGGTTGGATTGGGGATCTCGCTTGCTTTGGGGGGTGGAGGTATGGAGGTTCCTAGGGCGGAAGCTGAGGCTGAAGTTGTAGGTGCTGGGACGGGAGGAGCTCCTGGCTGTGGGGGTGGGGGAGAGGTGGTCGTGGTCGTGGTGCTCGAGCTTGGGATGGGGGCGTCGCTCATGGTGGTTGGTGTGGGGGTGTATGTTGAGGATGGAGGTGCTGCCGGCGCAGGCGCTGGCGTTTGCACGGGCAAAGAAGGTATGTCGTTGGGTTGCGCGGTGGCGTAGATGGGTGAGTATGATGGTGCAGTTGAGGTAGCTGCCGCGGTGGTGGGAGGTTGCGATGAGCTGTCAACGACAACTTCTTCTGGCTGCGGCCCTCGGGATGAGGTTCTCTTAGGGGAATCCCCGTGTAAGTTTGAAGTTTTGTCGTCCATATTGTGAATGCGATCTAGCCCTGCGAAGTTGTAGTTCGAGGCGTTGAAGGAGCTACTCCCTGCTCCAGTACGGCATGAACGACGTCACTGCATGGGGCGGGTGCACGTGACGATTGTCAGGTGACCAGGATCGGAAAATTCTACCAGACAAGGTTTACAGAGGCAAACTACGAGGAGATACTGGAAAGAAAAAGAAAAGCTTTGCAGGCAGTAAAATACAACTGGTACAAGAGGAAATGACACACTTCTTTATGCCCAAGACAAACGTGTCATTCTTGAGGCATATTTCTATCCTCCCCAGTATCGTCCAGCATCCGGTAGTTACACCGGATGACTGGCCAACCCCTTCCCCAGAAGGATTCACACCGACTCAAACAGATTTGACCTTTTTAGTCAAATCGTTTAGCCAGAGCCACCCTTGTACTTCTTTCCGAAGAGCAGGAGCTGAACCTGGTCGTAGATGGACAGGACACCAGCACCAGCAACACCACGGAGGATGTTAGCACCAGCACCCTTGAAGAGGGACTTGACACCCTCACGGGCGACAATCTGGCGGAAAGCATCGGCGGAGGACTTGTACTTGACGGCCTCACCGGAGGTCATCATCATACGACGACGAACGGTGTCAAGAGGGTAAGAAGCGATACCAGCACCAGTGGTGACAGTCCAGCCGAGAAGGAAAGAAGCAAGGAAGTTACCCTCGAGAGGACCAACGAGAACAACGGGCTTGATGGAGTCGTACATGCCGAAGTACAGACCACGGTAGACAACAATACCAGCAACAGAGGGACCGAAACCACGGTAGAGACCGGCAATACCGTCGGAAGCGAGGGTCTTCTTGTAGACGTCGACGAGACCGTTGAACTGACGCTCACCGTTGCCCTTGGCGGACTTGGCGTCGTTGGCGAGACGGGTACGGGCGTAATCCAGAGAGTAAACGAAGAGGAGGGAAGTGGCACCAGCAGCCTGTTCGTCTGATTAGTGACTGCCAGTCTTCAAAACACTCGTGTAGATCGGGAATACATACACCACCGGAGGCAAGGTTACCCATCATCCACTTGGCGTATCCATCACGCTCCTTCTTGTAGGCGAACATGGACTTGTAGGTGTCACGGAAAGCGAAGTTGAGGGCCTGGGTAGGGAAGTAACGGATGACGTTGGCAGTGTTACCTCTCCAGAGAGAGACAACACCCTCAGCGGCGGCGGTACGACGGAAGCAGTCGGCGATACCGTTGTACTTGCGGTCGAGACGACCAGCGCGGAGCATCTCATCCTGGTTCTGGATGAGGAGCTTGATACGCTCGATGGGGGCAGCAGCAGTCTTGGAGACAGCAGCGGAAACACCACCCACTATGGACAGTAGTTAGTATCATTGATCCATAGATAGCAGTCGATAATATGATGTCGTTGATTAATGGATGAAAGATCGATCATTGGGTGGCGATCAATCCATGGGACCTGGGATTTCACATACTCATGAAGTCGACGACGAAGCCCTGTGAAAAATTTTTATTAGCATTGCGTTCCATCGACAATGAAGCAGATCGACCAGCATTTCGAAACCCCGACCCATTCGACACAATGCAAGCTCATTTCGGCTCATTCAATGCCATTTCGAGTTGGATATCGAAGGGCGCGTGATGCGGAAAACTGGTGGACTGTCGAGCGAAGGGACAGGTAGCAACTTACGGGCATGCCGAAGACCGACTTGTCGGCCTGGTTAACGTCACCGTTGGCCATTTTTACGGCTGTGAGAAACGAAAACTAAACAAAAAAAGAGAGGAGAGAGATAGTGCCAGACAAACAGGACACTTCACGGGGGGATGGGGGAAAGAAGAGAAAGAAGAAGGGAAGGGAAGGGAGAAAAAATAGCGAACGGAGGGCTCTTGTAAGCGGGAAGAAGCGAGCGGAGACGCTAGGACTCTCTTGGGACTCTTTCTTTTTGGGGGGGGGGGAGGGAGAAAGGGAAATTTGTTTCGCTGGCCTGAATGTGCAGTCAAAGCAATGGCAGCGGCGGCGAACAGCGGCCACACTAGTCCACTTTGAGAAGGCTATCTGGGTGCCGGTCCGGAGTAGGGAGTTTTCCCATTGTACTTACAGTAGGGGAAAAGGGAGAAAAGGGAGGGAGGAAAGGAGGCGGCGGGTCTACCGGCCACCAAGAAAAAAAAAATTCAGAAAAAGTGAAAAAAAAAACTGGGTCCGGCGCTAATGCTGGCCCAGGCAACCAGAGCCGATATCTCCCGATCGCGCCAGTAACCGTCCCGACCGCTGATATGAGAAGAAGGGAAAAGAGGGAAATCTCTCGCAGTTGAGTTATTTATGGAGCAGAAGCAATCGTCCCTACATACTCCGTACTCGTACAAGTATCAATTAATTTCATCCAAGACTAACTATTCGGTTGGATTGAGACTTGTCCATTATCAGGACATAGTTCAATGAAGACATGACAATTTGTTCTGTAGAATGCCAATGCCCAGAGCCTCAGTTGGAGATTCCATATCGGGACCATCGGCGCCCCCAAAACAACAATAATCCTCCTCCTCATAATAACAAAGAGACCGGTCACTTGCTGCCTTAGTGCCTCGTCAGCGTTTCCGCCCGTCTTCACCGAACCAACTTTTGTCCGCGTGCAGCAGCAGCAGTCGCAGTAGCAGCCGCCGCCGCCGCATAACTAACAACAAGTCGAGACGCACATCCCTTTCTCCAACTCCTCCCGGTTACCCGATGGCGAATTTCCTTCCTTTGGATTCTGGTTCCCGGAAAAACTTGTCTCTGCTCGGGCCAAGGAGAAAAATGTGACCTTCCCTTAGTCCTACACCCTCATCATTTACTCCTCGTACTATGTATCTATACGTAGAAGTCTGATTCGTATACTTTCATTTAAGCGCGTGCACCGACTTTCGGCTGTCATCCCGCGTTTTCCCCCCGTCATTCGCTCCGTCCGGAGGATACTAAGGCTCGGAGAAGTTGGGCCAGGCCGCCAGAGGCACGGGAGTGAATAATGAGAAGTCTTTTCACTCGGTAATGCGGAGGTGCTAATAGGTTCCAACTTCTAGGACCTGGGGCAGATTTACATCGGTATCGAGTATCGATATAGTCTACTGTTTGATTCTGACTCAATTTCTACTATTATTGTACCTTTTTCCATTCTCGAGTTGGAGAAATCTGTGCAGAGTCTTCCGGATCCGGATCCGTCGCATATCAAATAGTCCTCCGTAGGGTTGCTTATCGCTGCCTCCCATGCGCCTAGGGAAGACACGGGTTCAACTACGAAGTTTAAAAACAGACGAAACAATGTCCAGTTGGGTCCACATTAATGAATACTAGACCCCCTGCTCTGTCGCCATGATGATATCCACTTTTTCGCCTCTTCTACTGAGTACAGGACACTCCATTGTACCAGATTGTGCCCTCACGCAGGGGCCCACAGGGCCTGAGAGTCTGCTGCGTCGGGATGATAACCTAGCCCAGTCTGGGAAGTCGATGTACACGACTCACCCTAAAGAAATTCAATCACACTCAGCCAGGTACATCTAAAGAGCTTAATTATTCATTGTCCTGAGCGCTCGGGATCTTGTATACATACACCAATTTGAAGACATCTTCAATTGTGCATTCAATCCCCTGTTGCAGCCCTAGCTGAGCAAAACGGTACCTAGATCATACAAAGCCACCTTGAAGCTTGTCCAATGCAATGTTTACAGCCATATGCAACGAAGTAGGTATATCTTGCATCTTAAATCTATCAAAACACGGATGTATCGCTAAGAACTTTTCTGAACTGAAACCATTCAAGACAAGACAACGATCTTGTAAGGACATACATGCTCAAGACTGTAGCTCGGTTAAAGCATTTAGTGCTTCTTCGACCTCTTTCTCTTCTTCTTCCTGGGCTCACCATCGCGGATATCAACCTTGCCCACATCTTCCTGGTCTGCCGCAGGGGCCTTGGGAGCCTCATCGGAGATTCTGGGGCCTTCTTCATCACCAAAGGTGTCCTTGCGCCATTGCCTAAGGCGAGCCTTCTTGCCCAACTTCCTTTGGTCCTTGTACTTCTTCTCCGGGTCACGGAATGACGCAAGTTTCTTCAGGCCTGCAAACTGGTTGAGTTGGTTGTCATCGGCCATGAGAATATCCCGAGAAGTAAGCCCAAAGCTTTGAGGCGAGGTCTCACGGTAACGGAATCCGGTTGCGTTCTTCTTGGTAGCTCCAGGAAGCAAGCTGATATCCAGGTCCAGATTGCGGTCCACGGCATCCTCGATACGCATGCGATCCTTGCGGAATTCGCGCTTCTGATCTCTCCTCTCCTGCGCCTTGCTCTTCTTCTTCTCTCCCTCCTGCTCATCCGCCATTTCAACGTCCGAATCGGCCACAGCGGGCACCTCTTCCTCCTCATCGAAGTCTGGCACGAGATCCTTGATATCGATATCATCGTCCCATGTGGGCTTCTTGGGGTGCTTCTTGCCATCGGGGCCAGTTTCGGCATAGTAGTCCTCGCCGAACCGTTTCTGCATTTCGGCCTCCCAATCCTTATCATCCCAAGCATCGTCCAAGAAGCGGACCCAATCTTCATCCGTCAACTCAGTTCCATGGATGCCGGCAACCTCCTTGATCTTCTCAACCTTCTCCTGCAGTTCTTCCATCTTCAGCTTGCGAAGTCGGTTCTTCTCAATTTCGCGCTGTTTCTTTTCCTGCTCTTTCTGCTCTCGCTCCGCATCTCTGCGCTTCTTTCTCATGCTCTTTTCCTCTCTGCGGACAGACTGCTGGTTGGTAGCGTCACGAGAATGCGTCATGAGAGTAGCATTCATCTTGCTGGGATCCTCAAAGCGGAAATTGTATGCCTCCTCGAATGCCTCCGCCCGCTCGTCCTCTTCCTCGTCGTCGGACTCGAATGGCTGCAGCTCCGATCGGCCAGCTGGAATCCATGCCCTTGCTGACAGGAAGTTTGACAAGAACGTCTCCGGATCCTTGTCCGCATTCTCAATGTCCAGGTTTGCATCAGTCTTAGCTTCGGGGAAAGACTCAGGCTTGGATTTAGCGACAAGGAATTCATCTTCCTCGTCCTCCTCGGACGCATCCTCGTCACCAACAGCAGCGTGCATCTCCTTGACAATGGCGTTCTTCAGGTCGGCCTGCTCTTGGGCATATGTTTTAGGAGCACTGCTCGTGTCTTCTTCGTCGGCCAAGTTGGCGCCGCTGAGTAGGTTCTCTCGGTGATAATCGCGCAGGGTCATTGGCTTCTCCTTCTTCTCTGTGTTCTGTGGTTGCTCCTCGTCGAGTTTAGTGAAGAACTTGGCATTCGGGTCGTACACGCGAGGGTCTTTGGATCGAATCGCCTTGATAGTGTCCATGATTTCAACATCCACAGCCTCAGTAGCCAGCTCTCCGAAATCGTCCTCTTCTTCATCCGATGATGACTCTTCATCGGAATCCTCATCTTCCCCGTCACGATCACGACGTTTGCCAAGTACCGAAGACTTGCCTAGCTTTGACTCCACTATAGTGATCCAGAGGTTAGTCCAATCGTTGAGAGAATCGAGATAGTGGAGTGGCCTTACGTTGCTGCATCTCTTCTCTCTTCTTATTATGCTCAAAGCGACGAGCGTAATCCTCATTGATCTTGAAAACGACATCCTCGTTGCTGATAGGAACGCCACCAGATTCATCTTCCGAGTCGCTGGAGCTGTCATCCAGCAACTTGCGCGACTTCTTAGATAGAGGCGCCATCTTGTCTCAGGAAGAAACTGCAAGTGACTTGAATCCTGGAATGTTGCTCTGAGAATAGGATTGAATGATTTCTCCGCCGCAGGGGAAAAAAAAGGCGGTTGCCGGCAGAAAAAAAAGGCTCCACCCTGACCGCCCTCCTGGACCCATCGACCCCGTTCTGCCTGATTAACCAGGCTGCGGGACAAAGACACTGACGTAGCCAATTAAATCATGCGCGGTCCTGTATCCGCCTAGATGGTCAGAAGCACTCGATCTCCTAAAGCTCCTCCCCTCCACTGCGACATAAACCCCCTCCTATCCCTTGCTGCTTTTCTCCTCATTTTTTTTTGGATGCTGCTTACTTGAATTGATACCCATGGTAACTTGGGATCGAATTTCTGTCAATTCTCCACGTTATTCTCGCTCGCATCGGTGTATGGCTGGTGACATACACTAGATGTCGACTCAGCCGCAGATCTTATTACCCCAGGTTGGGAAGCTTGTCAGTGTGGTGTGAGTATTCGACGCTATGCCATTCCATCTAATGCGCTTCAAAGCTCCAAAAATGTGTACCATCTAACGTTTTCTTTCTCTTCAAGTCCGGTCGGTTTAAAGGAGGCTGCACTCGATTCCCCCACGTTCCGTGCCGCCGCTCTTCACTTCTCCGACCAGATCGAATTCCTCGAGAGATGGCTCGATGGCTATGCGAAAGCCACCTCCAAGCTCGCCACAGAACTGGCGGCAATAGAAGGCGCCGTTAGCGTCTTTCTGTCCTACTCCACGAATCCTTTAATGGTCTCCGAAGCCGTCTTGGACCATGATTACACTCTACAGTCGATGCGGAGATGTGGTGACAGCTCAAAGGACATGTGGAATGGGTTAGTGTCTACTGTCAAAAAGCTGGAATCTTTCGTCTCCGAACCCATAAGGGCATTCATTCAGGAGGACTTGCGGAACTTCAAGGTAATAAATATGGGGCCCCTTAAATTAAGGATCCGTTTCTGACCCCCGCTCAAGGAGAACCGTCGCACGCTCGGCGAGACACAGAAACAGTACGACTACTTGCTGGCCCGGTATTCGTCACAGTCCAAATCCAAAGAGCCCTCGGCGCTACGGGAAGATGCCTTCCAGCTTCATGAGGCCCGCAAAGCCTATCTCAAAGCATCGATGGATTTCTCAATTCAAGCACCTCAGCTGCGGAACGCGCTTGACAGGTTGTTGGTTCGCGTCTCCTTTGATCAGTGGCGAGAGCTCAAGACCTTCCATACCAACAATGGTAGCTCATTCGCAAAGTGGGCTCACGAAATGGACCGCATCAAGGGCTGGGTGCACGAAATGGATGGAAATGAGAAGTCTGCCAAGCGGGAGCTTCTGGCTTCTAGGAAGCAGATCGAGGAGGCTGCAGAAATTGCAGCTAGGCCATCTCGTGAGTTAGATGACTACTCTGTATCCACAGTCCCATACCTTGGCTCGCGTCCTCTGTCGATAAATAGCATGTCGAAAGAGGCAAGACCTGAGAAGCAAGGGTGGTTATATCTTCGGACTCTCTCGGGTAAACCTACACGCACTGTCTGGGTTAGGCGCTGGTCCTTTCTGAAACACGGTATCTTTGGCTGTCTCGTCCAGGGCACTCGCACCGGTGGTGTTGAGGAGAGCGAACGTATTGGTGTCCTACTCTGCAGTATTCGACCGGCTTTTCAAGAAGACCGGAGGTTCTGTTTCGAGGTCAAGACGAAGAGTAACACCATTATGCTCCAGGCTGAGACACAGAAAGACCTGATGGACTGGATTGCCGCCTTTGAGGCTGCTAAGCGCAAGGCTCTTGAAAATCCATCGAGCACCGACCTCTCTGTGTCCGGCAAAGTCACTGTTCAGGACCCTGCTTTTGCAATTTCTCAACCCCCAGCGCCGGAATTTGCCGCTGATCCTGCCGACTCTCTCACGCCTCATACAAGCGATGAGCAGGGCTCGTCCGATCGCATTGGGATGCTCTCGCTACCAGAGAAGGATCCGTCTGCTCTTCGCAACAGTAGCGACTTTAGCAGCTACCGGAGGTTGACGACACTGGACTCTGACAGCCCTGCCCGCGAACACACTTCACGTCTCATGCAGAAGCTGGATCTTCACCGCAAATCAAATAATAATACAGTGCAGTCCTCGCAATCTATCCCCGGAGTCGCAGGCGGGATTGCTAGTCTCATCACCGCAAGTCATAGTGCTATTGCTTCTGGAAGTACTCTACCCGTTGACCCCGATGGGACTAGATCCCGTAGCTCGACTCTTGGTAATGATTCTCCCACAACCCTTGCCCCGATGACGTTGGCCAACCCCCCTGCTCCGACCAGTATGAGCAAGGCTGCTGTGTTCGTGAGCAATGAACGTGGTATAGGACTCGGTCAGATCGACAAGACAGGTGGAATGCCCAGCGGCATGATGGCGAACTTGTGGGGTAGCTCCAATTGGGGCTTTTTGAACAGGTTTGAGCCTGAGCGACTGGGGCTACCGGCCGATCAGGACCCGGATAAGCCACCTGCTCAAACGAAAGATCCCTCTAAACAATTTCTGATCGCAGAAGCCGACACTTCGAGTGGATCTGTCACGCCTAAACCACAGAAGACCGGGTCGCGCCATAGACCGACGGTGAGTTTGGACGGCGACTCGTCTAAAATACAGCAAGCGCTCATGGGTGATTCGCACGACTACCCTAGCTTCTATCCACCGCAGCTTAAAATTCATGATGCCCAATTCCGACTGCTTTTCCCCGATATCAAGAAGGATGAGCCTTTGGTTATGGTGTTCCGGGCCACATGGAGCCCGAACGACCAGCAAGATTTCCCTGGGAGGGCTTATGTCACAACCCAAAATATCTATTTCTACAGCCACCACTTCGGTCTGGTACTGACGACAAGCATATCTCTGGAAAGTATTAAAGAGATCACTGCTGCTACTGGTAGAGATTGTGACTTTTTGTTTGTACACCTGATACCTCTTCCTGGCGACGACACACCAAGTCGTGGAACGATTAAAACCTTCCTGGAGCCACTAAGACTCCTTCAGAGGCGACTCAACTTCCTTATACACAATATGGCGGCTGCTGAACCTCTGGGACTGGAAGCCATTTTCAAGACTTTGATCAGAATGGAGACAGAGGCAATGACACGGACACCAAGCCTGGATAGCTGGGAGGACGTGGGCGCTGGGGGCGACAAGAACGACCTCAGTGATGCGCCGACAGGAGGCTCTAAGAAGGACTCTCGCTTACCTATCTACATTGACAATGACCTCAACATGCACAAAAAGCACGGCAATGGCAAGGACATTCCAAAGTTCCGACTTCCCATTCAGCCTGTTCAGTATGTTCCCCAGGGAAATCTTCACTTGGCTGCAGAGAAGGTGTTCGACATCAGTCCTAAAGCAGTGTTCCACATCCTCTTCGGGGATAAGAGTGCTGTGTGGCAGCTGCTTCTGCATCAACGAAATGCTCAGGGTAAGCTATAGCCGAGTCCAGTCCGGCGCTTGCTAAGATCGTCACAGGTATCAAACAAGGGCCCTGGACCAGACATGAGTCCAATCATCTAAGGCGGGACTTCAACTACTCAATTGAGACCACCGATATTCTGGGTATGTATTTTGGCTTCCCTGGACGGGTTACGCCTGGTCTGACAATCAGTAGGGGCCAAGCACAGCCAAACCATCTCAGATTACCAAATGATCGATGTTCTCAATGACCACCTTTGTTACGTCATCACGGACAAACGCACTCCCTGGCACCTCCCATTCAAGCGGTCCTTCAGGCTGGTCAGCAAAGTTGTGATTACCTTTGTCGCTAAGGGCAAGAGCAAACTCTCTATCTACACGAAAGTGGAATGGCTATGGTCTCCGTATGGCCTGCAGAGTGAGTTACTGTATTCTGCTGGGAACATACAAGGCACCGCTAATTATCTCAGGCGTCGTGGATAAGAGTGCAAGCAGTGACTTGGAACAAGACGCGCTGGACCTCGTCGACCTCGTAGGTGACCAGGTTCGCAGACTAGGCGCACATAGTCGAACGAAAAAGGCCATCACGATCTTCGGCCATGTCGGGCGTCAGAATTTCGCCTCGCAGTTCTCACCTTCCGGGGACTTGAAGCTGGAATCACGCAAGCCTCGCGTCCAGAGAAATATGGCTCACCTTTTGTTCGAGACGTTCTTATCCTTCCTGGAGAGTGCCGTGTCATCCCTCCTCATGTGGACCGGTGCTTTCCTACGCTGGTCATGGAAGACCACTAATGCGCACACAGTGATCTTGTCCCTACTATTGGCGAGCGTGCTGATAAATGGGTTCTATTCGTCACGAGTTGTTCATGAATGGTGGGATGACAGGAGTATTGGAAACTTCATGGCCCGCATTGGAGTCGGTCCCGATAATGTGATGAGTAGAGCTATCTATATGAGGGATATCGACGAGGCCATTGCGAACGTAACCGTCGGGCGCGGAAGCGGCAACGTAAGTGACTGCTTCGCGACGTTCCATCAACAGACCTTGCGCGAGCCAGGGACGGCCTTGTCTTTGGGGTCAGCTGGTTTTAGAGACTCCATGACCAAGAGCGCAGCTCGCAGGATCCAACAGACCCGTGAACGGCTGGCTACCTACCGACACAACCTCCTAGTGGCTCTTCGAGTGGTAAATAGCATCGAACGAGAAGTCATCCAGAATGAGTGGGAGCGGTGGCTTCGACAGGAACTACGCCGCTGTCGCCAGGTCGGGATCCTCCTCGGCCAAAATGATGACCTTGACGATGCCGAAATGGAGGGGGAGCGAACCAACTCGAATGCGTTCGCCAACCTGAGTGGCGACGTCAAGCAATGGTACGGCATGTACTGCTCCAGTTGCCAGGCCGAACGGTCACATATCGAAGACGATCATGCTTTCGGTGAGCTTTAGACATTCATGGCCGGTCTTGCTTGCGTGGTGCCAATTCTCTTCTTTCATGTGCCCTTCTTTCGTCCCAAGCTGAAACAATACCCGACAATGCGAGGCGATCTGTTTTATATCAATTGTATCTCTCCAGAAGCACGGCTGTGTCTTTGTTGCCGTTCTCAACGCATGTATATAACTTTGGTCGGGTTTGGGCTGTAATAGTATAAATTGGACGAGACTCTGCTGTGCTGTGCAAACCGGTGGTAGACCGTTCCCTGTTGTCGTCGTCGTCCTTCCTCTTTTTCTTCGTTTGTCCAGCCAGCTGCAAACCCCAAATCCATGCATAGGCCCCCTTCTCTCCAACTGGCAAGCAGAAAACAAGACTCGGCAACGAGAACGGTATCAATTCTGTCTTGGCTTCACCGCACCATCCTGCACAACATAATAGACCACCGTACTATCCCCACCCATCTGCCTATCCACCATAGCGAGAAGCATCCTCTTCCCACCCCACTCCCTAGTAGCACGGGCCTGTTTCCGATACCGGTAGTATTCCTTCAACTTGTCCGCCTTGCTTCTGCCGCTACCGTTATTGCTGCCGTTATCATCCTCGCCCACCACCACCACCACCCCCGCCTCATCCTCAACTTCACCCCCCAGATCCCCAAGATCCTCCGCCTCCGGCAGCGCGTCAAACACCCCGGCCAACCGCCGGAGACTCCACGTGTGGCCCTGCACGGTGGGGAGGACGAACATTCGTTCGAGCTCGAGGTCCTCCTCGCGGAGCCCGCGTTCGAGGAGGTAGAATTGCTCGTCCGGGTGGGTGTAGAGGCGGTGCGGGGGGATTCCCGAGATGAGGTTAATTGTTTCGGTGCGGGATTCGGTGTATGTTGGGGCAGTAGGGACAGTGGATGGGAGCTCGTGGATTTGGAGGGAGGTCCAGAGGTGTTGGTGTTGCAGGTTGTGGAGGACTTGGAGGGTGAGGGCGGAGGTTTTGGGGTTGAGGTTGAGGTTGAGGTTGGAGCTTGGGGTTGTGGTGGGAATTGAGGATGATGGTGATGTTGATGCTGGTGTTGCGTAGGAGGTGACAAGGGTTGTTAGGGCGGAGGGGGTGGTTGTTGAGGTCATAGTTGTATGTCTGTCGTGCTTGGTTGCGCACGGTTGAAGATGGAGGAGTGTAGAGATCGCAAGGCGGGAGGTGATGCGGTAGTTGTTGGGGGGGAAGTTTGTGTGTGGTACGTGTGGTGAGATTGGGTCTGTTGGATGCCAGAATCAATTGTAGTGAATGCGCGACAATTGCTTCCAAGCTCAATCTGCACCTATACAAAGTGGAGGATCGGACTAAGAAGTTGGAGAAGGAAATCCCCCTCGGGCGGGGCGGAAAAAAGGGCGATGGATTCGCGCCGGCCGAAGTTCCGCGGCGCGTTTTTGGGAACGGACGGGGAGAAGAACAGCTGCAGGCAGGAAAGAACAGAACACATGGCATCATCTGAAACACATTTCTATAAAGTTATTTCGAGACCCCCAGTCACTTTCTTTTTTCCCCTTGCTTTCGAGTCACTCTTCTGAAGTTGTTCTTGTCTTCCAGTATTTATGCGACCTGGTGGAGATTATTTTTGTTTCTGATTCAGATACTCATACTCTGTCGATCCTATTGTCACAGTCCTTCCACAACTTCGTTGATTGCATTGGTTTCAAGTTACCAGAGACCCAACTGCGCTCGCTTCCTCTGCCAATGGCACGTCAAAAACAAACAGCACCCTTACAACGGGCCACCTCTTCCCAACTCATGCATGTGCCGCCGAATGAATCGAGTGCGCAGTCACTCAAGCAGCAGAATGGAGCTGCTGTCGCCCATAATCATGTCTCTGGAGTGAAGGATGCGACGCAAGATACCCCTGGCCTGATGCAGCTTGCTGTCTGCGTTCTGGGAATCTATGCTTCTTTGTATGTGTCTGGGATGATTCTTGACTCTGCGCATTATAGGGAAAACTAAAGCTGACTGCTGCACACCAGTCTGTCATGGGGTGTCCTCCAAGAAGCCATCACCACCGTCTCCTATCCGGTTCAACCTCCGAGCGCTGAGTTGCCCGAACCGCCCACCGAGCGCTTCACATACTCGATTGTCCTGAACACGATCCAATCCACCTTTGCCGCCATCACCGGCTTCCTCTACCTCTTCTTCTCGACTCCGTCCGGACAGAAGGTCCCCTCCATCATCCCCACGCGGAAGATCCTCTTCCCCTTGCTCCTGGTCAGCATCTCCTCGTCGCTCGCATCCCCCTTCGGATATGCCAGTCTCGCGCACATCGACTACCTCACCTTCATCCTCGCCAAGTCGTGCAAACTGCTCCCGGTCATGTTCCTCCACTTGACCATCTTCCGCAAGCGCTACCCGCTCTACAAGTACGGCGTGGTCCTTCTGGTCACGCTCGGCGTCGCGACCTTCACGCTGCACCACCCGGGCACGAGCAAGAAGGTGGCCGCCTCTGCGGCCAAGGGCCAGTCCGGCTCCAGCGCGTGGGGAATTTTCCTGTTATCGATCAACCTGCTGCTGGACGGCCTCACCAATACCACCCAGGACCACATCTTCACCTCGCCGCAGACCTACACCCGGTTCACAGGCCCGCAGATGATGGTCGCACAGAACGTGCTCTCGACGCTCCTGACCAGCAGCTATCTGCTGGTGATGCCCCATCTGTCGGCGACGGGCCTCCTGCACAACCTCCTGCCGTTCCCGATCCCGCCGTCCACGGAGACGGAGCTGACGGTCGCGATCGGGTTCCTGTCGCGCCATCCGGAGGCGCTGAAGAACGTGCTCGGGTTCGCGGCGTGCGGGGCGGTCGGGCAGCTGTTCATCTTCTACACGCTCTCGCGGTTCTCGTCGCTGTTGCTGGTGACGGTGACGGTGACGCGCAAGATGCTGACGATGCTGCTGAGCGTGTTCTGGTTCGGACACTCGCTGTCGGCGGGACAGTGGCTGGGGGTGCTGTTGGTGTTTGGCGGCGTCGGCGCCGAGGCGGTCGTGCAGCGACAGGAGAAGAAGGCCAAGGAGAAGGCGCGAGCTGCCGCTGCGGCCACAAAGAAGGAGTAGTCACAAGCATCATGCTCGAAGGGGGTGTCCATCCGCCATCAAAGTTCCCATTTCACGATTGTACATATCAAGTTTAGAAATCATCATCTCCATAGACCTATGCTTGCAATCCATCACTCAGCATATCATCACCGCAGTGGTATCAAACCCTTCCCCTCATCTTATCATCAATCAAGGACATCTTCCTTATTCCAACCAACCACATAAAATCTACTTCCTCCCCTCAACCATGATAATATGATACCCAAACCCCGTCTTCACCTCCACATACTTGGGATTCGCCGTCGTACTCGGCTCCAGCTCGTACGCCGCCTTCTCAAAGTCCCCATTCAAGCTCCCGCGGACCTTCCACCCCAGTGATCCACCTTTTGTGTTGAGGATGTGTCAATACAAACAAGATCAGATCCACAAGGAGGGAAAGAGAAACATACCCTGCCGCGCCTTATCCTCCGACATCTCCCGCGCGACCTCATCGAACTTGGCCCCGTTGCGGAGTTTCTCTAGCGCTTCTTCTTTCTTGGAGTGTTTCTCGCACTGTTGAGAGATATTAGGCTTAGTACGCTGGGTAGAGGATTTCGGGGTGGCATGTGCATCTCTCCTCTCTCTCTGATAAGGAAGCTAGGACGCTGACGCTGACGCTGAGGGGAGGAAGCGCAGCCTGGTTGCAATCCCGCCCTAGGCGTACATATCCAACTTGAACTTGAAAGATAGAGTGTGGGGGGTGTGTGTGTGTGTGTGTGTGTGTGTGTGTCGGTCATTAAGTAGCTACTACCCTCCCCCTTTCTGCCCCAGATCCAATAAGCTACAGACATATAAAGAGTCAATACATACAAGAATATGCCGCACGTTGATCGCCGTCGCGGGCTTGAGGCCTTTCTTGTCGCCGCCGCCGCCGCCGCCGCTGTCTTTGCCCTTTTTGTCGCCGCCGCTGCTTTTGTTTTTACCCATGGTGTTGGTGTCTGAAGGGGTGGAGCTGGGATGTTTGATGACGTGCAGTGTAGTGGGGATGAGGCAGACGCAGATTGTTTGTGGTTGTTGGGGATGTTGGAAGTTGAGGTGGTGGTGGTGGTGGTGGGGAAGCAAGGTGAGGATGTGGGGGTTTGGTGCCTGAGGTTTGATGCTGCATGTACTGTGTTTGAAGGTTGATTGGGGTTGGTTGGGGGATTCTGGGTGTATAGGTTAGACTTATCCTGGGGTCTTTGGGCCAGTGGTTTATCGATTAGTTGGTATATCTTGATCTAATGTAGTTGGGAGACTTATTGGATGTGGACAGGTTGCATTTGGTGTACGCTGTTAGATATGCGTAGCTGGGTTCCTCCTTTGTTCGGGGTCGGGTTCGAGGGCCGGAGGTATGTAGATGTTTCTATAGAAGTGTACTGACTATCGACGTCGACAGCATACTACGAAAGATGGTCTACTATTGAGACTTCCAGAATAGTTACTGACACACAAGACGAGTAAATGCCGAATTTCGAGGTAGGACTATATCCCGTACAACTTTACTTCGTTCCTGCAAACCGCTGAAGAACCGGATCAATATATCCAGCCCAGTATGCAAGCTCAGATCGACCAACATCTAGCCAGCAGTAATTTAGCATTAATAGAACCCAGAAAGCTCGATTTAGCTTCTTCAGCACTTACTTGACTACACAGTATACCGACTACAACCAAAGTCAGAAATCATGATGTCATCATTCTCCCTGGAAAGTCGCCCAGTTCACCAGATCGAGTCATGTTCATTCATGTGAGTCCTTCTATTGTCAATAAGACATCGTGTTCCACCCCGCCTATTGAATCACCTGACCCCAGGGGGCAGAGTACTCGTAACCTCGAGTCCACTGTCTCTCAAACAAAGAGACCCAAAACTGCAGCCTGCAGCCTCCAGCTGCAGCCTGCCATATCTATTTTTCCAAGAAGCCCGCCTCCGCTCTCCGCACTCGGGATTCCGATTGACCCCTCATCCGCAAGCTAAAAGTAGTAACAAGGCAAGTACGGGAGTAAATTTAGGACAGAAGATTCTAACCAACCACTGACTGCATTTAGGAGGTCGGACGGTTTTTTTTTTATTTTTATTTTCGGATACGTCCAATTCTCTGTCTGCATTGAGCTTTTCGTACTCGTACTCGTACATGCGATTGCTCTCATGCAGTGACAGCGTGTCCGAAAGTTGTCGAGTTGTCGAGTTTTGAAACGGAAGGGAACGTGTCAGGTGGGTGTACTACGAGTACTCTGTACCTGAACCAGATGGGGGAGCTCGAGAGGGCCCGCATCAAGCAATTGCCATCGGATGCCTTCTACATTGCCGACTTCATCTCGGAGGTGGAGGAAGCCCTTTTGCTCCAAAAGGTTTGTTCCTGAAGATAGTCACATATTTAGTCCTTACTTACCTGAGTCATATGGAACGTGTTATGATTTACGATTTTCTCTAGATCGGTACCGCTCCCCTACCGCGCTGGACGCAACTCGCACATCGTCGCCTTCAAACCTGGCCATCTGCTTTGACCAAGACCAACACCCTCGTTGCCTCTCCGCTTCCCTCTTGGCTCGTCTCACCCATAGTGACCCCGCGCTTCGATGCCCTCAACATCTTCCAAGATGCCCCGCACGGCGCCCCGAACCATGTCCTGGTGAACGAGTACTGTCCCGGACAAGGGATCATGCCTCATGAAGACGGCGCAGCATATTACCCGCTCGTGGCTACTGTGAGCCTCGGAGCGCCGATTGTGCTGGATCTGTATGACAAGCCCACGGCCGACGCTCAAGATGGCTTGGATCGCCAACCAAAATATCGCATCCTGCAAGAGCGACGTAGTCTGCTGGTCACCACGGACAGGGTCTACACGGACTTCCTGCATGGGATTGCGGAAACCGACAGGGACGAGCAACTCAGTGCCGGTTCCATCTGCAATTGGGGCTTGCTGAGGGAGCCCGAACGGTACGAATGTGGCTGGTCTCAGAGAGGAACTAGGATCAGTCTAACTTATCGTGACGTGCTCAAGGTCGCGAAGCTGGGAAGCACAATGAAATTCTTGAATAGACGATAGTCCGGGTTGCAGACAACTTCGACGTTTAACCTAGAATCAGTACATGCCAGGAATCATATTCCACTTCCCTTGCATTGAACTTCTGCCGAATCTCTGGATATACCATCGTCGGGTGTTGGCCGTTGTCAGACCAAGGTTAATGGCCACAAAGGCCATAGCCGCCAGAATCGTCTTATTGATGGTTTCCCCCTGCGGAGCGGCTAAGAATGCCAGGGACAAGTAGATGACACACTCTGCCGTATAGTGCGGGCATACAAGCCTGTGGAAAAGAGGGTGAGTCGGCAGGGTATACTTCTTTAGGGAGAAGAGATAGTGGTGAGCGTCGTGCTGGAGACCGGATGCGAGCAGGAAGTTCGGAAGGAAGAGGAAGGTGCGGAGTGAAGGGGCTATGGTGACCTTCACATCATCGAGGGCAATTGGGCGGGCCAGAAGCGTGCCTGTGGCATGATCAATGGGACTTTCTCTCTTGTGTTGCGCCATGCGTTGGGGGCAGGGGTTGCTGTACCTGCTCCTTCAGCCCACACCGCAACCGACATCCCCAGGTAGAAAGCAAGGCCTACGAGCCAGTGAATAAACCACATTCGAGACGCGGATGGCCTCGAAAACACGAAGCACTCGTACAACCGCCTTACCCCCTGGAGAAGCATGCACACCCAACAAAGCAAGATTTGGTTTATCGTCATGGACCTCTGCAGGTGATCTGGGCTGACCCTCGTTGCAAAGGCCTGGAACGCAGCGCCACGGCAAAGGAGCTGCACGCCCCAAAAGACCGAGGCTGCCACGGAAGCGACATAGAATTGCGTGAAGTAGCTGTGAGGGACTCTCAGGGAGGCAAGGAAGTCGAGGATGCGTGTTGTTGCTGGGGATGACGAGGGTGAAGAGGAGGAGGAAGTTGTGGACGCTGGGGTAGAGGGGGGCTTCGAGTCGGTTGATGTTGCACGAGCGCCATAAATAACGAAGCGCGAGTGCAACGAGTCCGGCAACAGGCTGACCGACAGAATCTAAGGTTTTCTCAATTTAGTTCATTCTCAACGGACCGTGTCTAGAGCGTGCAGCATCGTCTCCGACTATTGTCTGCCTCGGCTTCTCGGATGCTTTGGCTGATCATACCGTACAAGACGCGAGGATGAAGAAGGCTCGGAGGGCATCGATAGCGTCCATGTGCGTGGAGGCAAGCGCTGTATCCACCAGGCCGGCGAGCATGTCCATTGCGACCGGTTACTATGTAGTTGTATGGGGTGCGTGTCCGCCACTGACGCGACGCAGGAAGAATGACTGTGGGTGGGGAGTACGGAGTAAGAAGAGGTTCGGCCGGCAAGAATAAGATCAAGAATAAGAAGGACGATAAACAATTAACAAACAGGGTTCGAGTCCAGTCTAGAGCCGATCTGGCTGGTGAGTGGTGTGTTTTGGTTTCAGTCTGGGTTCCAAGTTACTAACTAGTATACGAGGAAACGGGGACTGCTTTGGGGGAAAATCGGGGGCGCGGAGGGAGGCTCTGGTATTATTTGTTGTATGTTACCAGTTTTACCAGCCTGGTACTACAGTACTTTACACACTTGAATGTTCCTGTTATGATGATGCGACACGATCAAAGGTCGAGTGGGGAGAATAAAAACACCGAAACTCCACAGCCAAGGGATGAGTGAGATGAGCAGTCATAAATCATAAACAAGCAAACCCGTCGGACCATAAAGGATTTCGGCGGTTGTTTGATCCCTAAGGGTCTCGTGATGTCAAAGGTGAAGAGGGAGAGCATCAAGGGCTGAAGAAAGCGACCTCCCTGGTTACGGGGATTGTACGGCGGATGAAACATGTCGCCCACATTGTCGGCTCTGTAAGGATGTTACAGGATAACGGGGAAGAGATAGCTGAGGGAGTGTCAACAACAAAGATCTTCTCTCCTACCTCTCCTCCCTCCGCCATCCACCATCACTGCACCACCAGTCCTCGATCAAAAAGGGTCCTACTCTTCCTGCCAGCATTCCGGATCGTCAGATGCCGGCTGTTGACGGAGGGGTAAAAAGAGACCCCCTCCTCTATCTTTGACGTCTTGGGTGCTTGGTTGGCTCTCACACCCTCTTTTCTCCCCCATTGCTGTGTGTCGACTCTCTTGCTCCTGCACAAGCAAATCCGAATTCCATGGATTGGGTTCAGACTAAGAATAAATTATCTACTCCGGAGTATACAAGACCAAGCGAGTCATCCAGTGCAGTGAAAGAATAGAAATGGAAGAAAAGAAAGAATAATAATAATAATAAACTGGAAAACAAGAGAACAGCAAGAAGTTCAGCCAGTTAGCCAAGTTGTGCGAGATGAGCGGGGCGATAAGCCGGAAGAAAGAGGGACAATGACTGGTCTTGCCAGGAGGAGAAGATCGCTGAAGGACGAAACCTTCTAACCCGCATGCGGCAACCGGCGGGCTGCTCACTGTCAATCATTGGAGGAGCCGAGGGGGGCAAGCGGATGGCTAGCCTGATAGCCTACGCCTGCTTCCAGGGAACTGCCACAAATCCGTCACTCATTCCCACCCTCCGTTCCAGAGCTTGCCCGAGTTTCAGTCGCTGCAACGCCGACCGTCCAAAAAAGGGCTAAAAAATGGGAAAAAGAAAAAAAAAAAAAGAATCGCCCGTCCAAAAGAAATGCCAGACAAGGTCGAATGATAGGGAAGTGAAGGGGAAAAAAGGAAAGGATCGAGAAACAGCAAAAAGGCAGCAGCAGCAGCAGCAGCAGCAACAACAACAACAACAAGAGGCAAGCAAAATTGTAATCAGACCAGTCCGCCACCACTGCATCCATGCTTGCTTGCTTGCTTGCTGTCTGTCTGTCTACTCTCCGTACTGTGAGTTCGGAGTACTAGTTATGTAACTTATCCTCATCTCTCTATTAGTTCTCCTTCCCGGCTCCCTTTCTGTTGCTCTTCTGTTGTGTCTTTTGCTTCTTTGACCGCCCCCCCTCCCTCTCTCCTCTCATTCCCCCTCCCCTCTCCCCGCTTTTCTTTGGGCCTTCTCGCAGGCTTGGTCCAAATCGAAGAAAAATGGACGGATGAATGGATGAATGGATGTTGCGGCTGCAGCTGGACTCGTCCGGTCGGTTTCGATCAATCAATAATGAATGCTACCTTACCTTACCTACATCTGTCTTACAGTATTCTTGGTACTGCGACTCTACCTCTGCCTCTGTCTCGTATGTCCGGTACTGTAAATCTTAAGGTAACTCTGGCTTCTACGCCGGGAAGACCTGGTAATTGCGGTAGTGGTGGGATTCATGAAGGAGGATCGTGACCTCTTTCTTTCCTTGATCACCCTTTCTCATTCATCCCACTCATTCGCTGCACTCTCCCTCCATACCGGTTGTAAGAATACTGATGACTCTCTTCCTCCCCATCTGCCCAAGAATATACCCATAGTCACTTTCGATGGCGGACTGGCAAGCAGCTGCTCCACGCTGCTAATGCTGCTAATGCTGCTAATGCCGGTGGCCAAATGGCAAAAACATCGGTGGTAAGTTAGTATTCTGGGGGCGAGACTGACGAACATCACTGATAATCGGTAATTATCGGTAATCCCTCGTAATTACCCCAATCCAGAATGAGTCAATATTACCACCAGCAATCAGCATCATAGACAATTATTATTAGCATACTCGCATTATCGACAGCATCAACATCACCAACATCATTGTCCTCATTGACCATCGCATCCACTTCAAATTAAATTAGCCTCATTTTTACCCTCGATCATATCTGTTATGAGTATGATCTTGAACGGCGATGACCTAATAGAGGATTGACGGAATCTCAGCTAGTCGCAACCACTCACTGACTAGCCCAACCCGCTAATGACCAGCTAAACTGCTCTCGACGGCGAACTCGTCTTTCTTACCAGTAACCTATTTACCTGCGTAATTTCCCCCCCCCCCCCCCCCCCCCCCAGCGAACTTCGCCCGCTCCATCTTCTCCCTCTTCTTAACAACTCTCTTCCCAATTAATCCTTTCTCTTCCCTCATCTTCTTTTCCCCCTCCCCCCCCCTCCCACCTCAATTCGCTCAACTTCTCTCAATCCTCCTTTCGTTCCCCCTATCGACCTCAATCGGACCTTCTTCTCCCTTTGCCGACCGTATCTATCCCTCCACGCTCACGTCCTGTCGCCTCGTTACTCTCTTCATCACCGTCACCACTACTTCGCCTCTATTCCGCTTCGCTCTCTTACTTCGGATTATTAGGTCCACCTTGCTGTTCGCCCACGCTCTTTCTTCGTTCACTATATTCTCATTTCCTAGAAGAGAGCACCCAATCTACCGATTTCCAAATCAAGCGTGGTCGAGCACCAGCTTTCGCGCGCATCTGCTGGTGTATTTGACCACGGGTCTACCTGTCCGCCACGGCCCCCGAAGATGACGAGCAGAACCCCCAGAAATCGAGTGCTACCGCTATGAGTGATGTCGAGGCTGTCTCCTCCCTGCCAGCTTCCCTGGATGCCGGACAAAACGGTCTTGCTGCCAAGGTGAACCACCAGTCTACCTCGGGTCCGCTATCTCCCAAGAGAGCCCTCTCACCCGTGCCTCGGAGGGAGTATCATCCGATCAAAGAGGTAGACCCTGCTGTCGGGGACAGTGATGGGCCCCCTAGCCCCAAGGCTGACTCGGAGGCAGAAACCATTATCCAATCGGGCCGTGAATCATTATCGCCTGAAAAGAGACGGAAGTACATAAAACATGAACCGAAACGACGTGATGATGGAAATGACCATGTTGATGCGGCAGAGGGCGATCTCCCTCCCAACGATTTGCAAGTGAGAAAGAGGAAGTTGGTGGATGGCGACGTTATCAGTGAACGCGACCGTCATGTGCGCCCGGCGAGTCCTCTCCGTCGGACAGGGTCACCACCCCATGTGAAAGTCGAAAAGACCGATGAGCCCCAATCTGTCTCGAGTCGACTTGAATCATCGCACCCTGCATCTTTTGTTCCTAGGACGTCGAGAAAACGCAGCTTTAGTGAAAGTGTCGACGGAGAGGGAGATGTCCGTCGAAACGCTCGCCCGCACCACCCAGCTCCTTCCCGGGATCGAGAACGACGCGAGCTGAATGGTGTGATGTTACCCCGCCCCGCGTCAATCGACCGTTCCATATCACCTGTCCGTTCGCACAAGAGAACAGCTTCTGGTCACCAGCTGGGTAGCGATTTGCAGCGGAAGCGGAAAGCTCCTACCCCGCTTCTTCCTGGCGTGCAAAGGCAAAGTTCCGAAGATCGGCAGTCGGTGTCTTCCTCAACAAGCGGATCTCCTATGCCCAGTGCCCACATTCGAAAGGTGGCCTCTGTCGATGGGGCATCTGCTTCCCCTGCCAGACCCACGGGTCACAAAAAGCAACGCGATCAGAATGGACGCACTCGCCTCGCTCGTGCATGTGCTGCACAGGAACTTGAGGCGGCAATCGCTCGACATGCAGAACGACCGGAGGACCTCAATGTCGCCGACAATGCTGGTAACACGCCACTTCAAATCGCCGCCTTGGAAGGCTGCGCGTCCATTGTGAAGTTCCTCCTCGAAGCCGGATGTGAAGTCGAGACCCGAAATATCGATCGTGATACTCCGTTGATAGACGCCGTTGAAAATGGCCATCTCGATGTCGTTAGGTTGTTGCTCCAGGCTGGTGCAAATCCGCGTTCCGTCAATGCTGAAGGCGATGAGCCAAGCGATCTCATTCCGTCGGACTCGGAAGATTACGATGAGATTCGTCGTGTGTTGGAGGAAGCAAAAGCGCATCCACGCCCCAGCCGTCGCTCTGAGGAACAGACTGGATCTGGCACCAGGGAGACGTCTTCGCGGCGAGTGACGGTGGCTAGCCCTCGAGAATCACCCCCGGTAAACGGACAACGCAGCCCGCCCTACTTTGCCAGTACAAACAAACGCAAGAGCGTCAGAAGCGAGGCTACCCGGAATGATCTGTTATGGACCAAAGCTACGCCAGAGAATTTACAAGCCTTCGCCGCCAAGGGTGATATCGCTGGTGTTGCTAACATTCTCAATGTCGGCCAACGGGCAGATGCTGAGTCGATGATCGCAGCGGCCAAGGGTGGTCACGATGAAGTCTTGTCTCTTCTGCTGGGAATGGGAGATGCCGATCCGGACCCGGATCCAGTCCAGGGCGGCTCCCACAAGTTTGGATACAACACGCCTATGCTGGCTGCGATCGGAAGAGGCAATCTTCCCGTGATCAAACTCCTGCTCGACCAACCCAGCTTCAACCCCTCGCGACGACTATATAAGGATCGCACTTATTTTGAGTTATCTCGAGAACGCAGAGCGGACAACTGGGAGGAAGAATATGATCTTCTTCGCGACGCCTATGACAACTATGTACGGAACAGGAAGCAGCGTAAAAGCGACATCTCATCTCCGAGGAGGGTACGTGACAAGGACCGCGAGTCCAAGCGATCTGGACGGAAAGACTCTCCCTCCCCAGGGGGCAAGCATCGGAAACAGCTTGGAAGTCCAGTTCGTCGGGACTCATCCAAAGATGCACCCATGAAAGAGCGCAAACGAGAAGCGATGATGCATACGAAAGAGAAGCCTGGCCCTCCTCGTGCCAAGGTGGGACACGTTGCCACGCCTGATCACGACGGTCCTCGTTCCGATATACCCAGGTCGAAGGTAGTGCTGACCAAGGATGGAGACTCTAGCCGGGGCGAAGAGCCTCCCAAGAGAAGACGCTTGATCGCAGGACGGCCACCTGATCGCGATCGCAGGAGGCCTAGCATTCCTTCTTCAGATTCCATGTCCGGCCGTGAGGAAGCTCCTAAATCACGCCCTGATCATTCAGAACTCGTCACGACCAAGCCTGTACCGCCTCCCGTGAAGCGTGGACGCAGCAGCGTCAGTCCCGAGCGACCTAGGTCTCGCGGGTCCGACGCTGACCGGAACCCTCGCGAAGTCTTAAAGAAGAAGCGACGAGTACTGTCGGAAGATGGATCGCCCAACATCACTAACGGAAACCCCAAGAGGAGTCACCCTGCTGTGGAGGATCTGAAGCTTCCTCGTCGCAAAGATGATAGCCATATTGCACCTCAACCTCGGCGAGATCAATCGCGGGAACGAGATCTCTCCACCAAGGCTGTCGAAAGAAAGCAGGTAAAGGAGGAGCAAGAGAAGCCTGACACTCTTGAACTCGAGGATATCCCAATGGATGACTCGATCAGTCTTGCTCAGGCTGAGGCTGAAGCGGCTGCGCTCCGGGAAAAGCACGCTCAGGAGAAACAAGCTCTAGAGAAGCTAGCTCAGGAGAAACTAGCTCAAGAGAAACTAGCTCAAGAGAAACTAGCTCAAGAGAAACTAGCTCAAGAGAAACTAGCTCAAGAGAAACTAGCTCAAGAGAAGCAAGCTCAGCGAGAGAGGCAAGCTCGCGAAGAGGAAGAAGCACGCCTTGCTGCTGAAGCGGAAAAAGCCCGCCTGGAGAAAGAAGAGCAGGAACGCGCAGCGCGGGAGGCCCGTATTGCCCAAGAGAAAGCCGCGGAAAAGGCTGCAGAGGAAGAGCGGAAGCGGAAAGAGGAGGCAGAGCAGCGGCGAATGAAACAGGCTGAAGAAGAGCGACAGAAGCGGCTTGAACAGGAACGACAGCGACTCGCCAAACTGCGCAAAGAGCAGGAAGAACAAGAACAGCGTCGACGAGACGCTCTACCCAGCCGACTTCGAGTTGCAGCCAACCTTGTTGGATCCGATGATCCGCAAGCTAAGAGCCATGCATGGCTGCGGAAGTTCATGCCTGTTGTGACCGCTGAGACAAGACAACTCGACCCGTCTTGCGCCTCGGAAGTGGCAGAGGATCGATGGATTCCGAACTACCTGGTTGCACCCTTGCTGGCGACGAACGATCTTCAACTATCGCAATATGCCAGTTGGGAGAAGCGCGTCGCAACTCCTACCCAGCGGACGAACCTGTGGCGAGTCACGCGAAGGATGCTTGTTGAAGCAGACGAGACCGAATTTCTCAGTTCGTCATTCGGACAGATCATGCAACGGGATAGCGAAGCACGGCCTAAGTACTTCGACATGGCGCATGTATTTTGGCTGAAGGTAAGCTCCCTTGATGCATCTTGCTGGCTTACTAGTTGCTAACTACGGCAGCTCTCCGATTTCATGGATCTCGTCCCCCACATTCCGCACCTTCACGGGCTTGACATTCAATTGCTCAAGATGCACATTGATCAAGAGCCTAAGACGCAACCTACTTTCGAATTGCCGCAGGCCAATGGACATATCTCGGGGCCACATATTGAGGAAGGCCCCGGGTTACTAGGAGGAAACGGGTTGACTAATGGCTATGGGCACAGCCGGCCCAGTACATACGTCTAATTGTTCTTTCAGCTTCAGCGATCATTTAGCTTGGCGCTAGCTTGTACAGGTGAAAACTTGATGTACGACTATGATACCTGATGTGTTATGCTTGGATAGCGTGATATCATGATATCCCGAAATTCTTTACCAATTGTATGCTACCTAGTAGGGTCCAGTACCATCCACCTGCCACCAACAAGGTTCCGTTCCGGGACTAGCGGGATTCACCATCCGACCCCACATCACGTGCTATCGCCTATCACGTGACTATATTCTTACGTAACCCTTATAGGGCACACATTTAGGCGAGCGCAGCGCAAAATTGGCCGCACCACCACCACCACTAGCCTATACAAGAACAACCACCTCGAACTCTTTGAGGATAATCCGACAGACCAGTCTAACTACACAACATACAAAATGGTGAGTTTCGATATGCACCTGGACCCGTTGACTGGATCCCTCCCTTTCCACGAAGGCACAATCCGTAACCCAAAAGCCAAAGCTCAACTAACACAATGCCATGAAAAAAATCTAGTCGGACGGAGAAGAGACCCAATCCAACCCCCCCGTCGCTGCCGATGAGGTCGAGGTTTCGGCTGACGCCGGTGCCGGCGGTCAGATGTCCGTCCTCGACGCCCTCAAGGGTGTCCTCCGCATCTCGCTGATCCACGACGGTCTTGCCCGTGGTCTGCGCGAGGCCGCCAAGGCCCTCGACCGTCGCCAGGCTCACATGTGTGTCCTGAACGAGGGCTGCGAGGAGGAGGCCTACAAGAAGCTCGTCGTCGCTCTGTGCTCCGAGCACAAGATCCCCCTCATCAAGGTCCCCGATGGAAAGCTCCTCGGCGAGTGGGTTGGTCTTTGTACGTTGTCCCTTTTTCCTATGTCGTGCAACGCCTTGCTTGGACGTTTTCTGAAGAGCTTTTTTTTTCTTGCTAATACTTCTGTTTGTGTGAATAGGCCAGCTCGACCGTGAGGGCAACGCCCGCAAGGTCGTCAACTGCTCTTGCGTTGTCGTTAAGGACTGGGGAGAGGAGTCCCAGGAGCGCTCCGTCCTCCTTAACTACTTCCAGACTGAGCAGTAAATGTATACATTCTGTTGTATGCATTTGAAACTGACATCCTTGGAGGTGGCAGCGCGCCCAGTAGGGGGGGCGTAGGTGGAGTGCTGTGATCTGAGGATAATTTTCCGGACTTCGGGGGTGATGGCCCGCGCAAATCTGGTTCGATACAACTTGGGTGAATTAGGTTTTATACAGGTTGCATTTGATCTAGGAGGGAAGGGAAAAATTTCCTGTCTTTTTTTTTCTATATCTGTCGGTATTTAGGCGGGTGTGATGTGCGGGTCATCTCTCTCTCGTTGAGGAATTTAATCAGATTATGGTGCTCAAAATTTTGGTTCTCTTTTCTTCTTGTAGGATGTGGTTTCATCGGTGAGGTTAGGAGGGAATTTGCTTGGGAGTAGTTCGTGGTGGCTGGCTTCATCGACTTCTACAGCTGAATGGCATCATACTAAGATCCTGTCCTAGATTTCAAAAAAAAATATGTACGTAGCTTGACAGCTTCTGACATTGCTTCAGGTTTCCCCAATGATTTGCAAAGAAGACAACAACACCGGCTATGCGCATATCACCTCAAATACAAAACCCACTCACCGGAATCCGTAAGACGGACGCACCATCTTTCGTGTCTCGGGATTTAATGATAGTTGCTGGTACGGTGAACTGCCTGGGTCGTAATACAATCCTTCGATATGTCCGTTTTCGCGGTTCAGCGAGATGTAATAGAACCCAGAGATCGTCAGGCCTTGTCGCGAGTCGGTCGGGGTGATGAAACATCGCTCTGAAACAGTCCGTCAATACGCTCTTTCAAAGGCACAAACCCGAAGTACTAGTCCACTCACCCTTCCATCTCATCAGGATCCACCCTTTCGACAATGCCTCGGTGACCCATTTGCGACTGACTAGGTTCCGCGTCATCTCCTCATCGGTCAGGTTCTTGAATGGCTGAAGTTCTCGCCAGTACGTGCTGTCGATCTCGGCGTCGGCCTTGAAATTCTTCGTCTCCAGGGTATGTTTGTTGAAGTCAATGATCTCGCCCTCAAGATATGTGATGATATGAGCGTCATGGGACGGGGACGTCTTGTCGGGGATGTTGTAGGCTTCCATGGTGCCGGCCAAGGTCATGTCTTCGTGATTGATGTTGTGAATGGTAACCTTGACCGGCCAATTTTCATCCTTGACAGCTCCTATATTGTATATATTGTTGGCCATGTATCGCCGACCCGTACTCGTGGACACGCTGATGCGGTTGGCATCACTGCTGTTAACGACAAGAGGATCGTGTGGTGATGACGGACTAATTCGCTGGGTAAAGAACGCACCGGCACTGCTGGCAGCTCGTTGCGATCCAGAAAATATCACACCAGGCCGGAGCCAGGAGCATGCAGGCGGCGGTGCGATCGATGCAGTGTCGATGATAAAATCATCCTCGTTCCCATTAATAAAGTCGAGGTGAACGAAACCTCCGGCGGCGGCTGACGACAAGCTTTCCTCGAACGAGGTCGAATAGCGTAACCGGTCCAGGTAGCGAATTGTCTCCTTTAACCGAGGGCTTGGAGCATTATCCATATGTAGCTGTCGATGAGCACTGATTCGAGCGCGAAGATCATTGTGTGTCAGGGGTTGGTGGGGTTCGCTGCGAATGCTGGGTAAGAATCGATATGCTCGTGAGGTGGAACTGGTGCCAGACCGTTCCCTCAGTTCCTCTGCTGCTTGACTTGCACGTTCTCGCTCAACCAAGTAATTCTGCAGAGTCCTGGTCCGTGGGGGGCGTGGTTGGCGGCGTATTGACTGCACCAAAGCGTCTGCCATGGTGTACGGTGATTCGTTCGAGGAACGATTGCTGTTCTCCGTGGGCTCTTCTGTCACTGTAGGTGGACTCCGACCGGCAGCCTCACGGCGTGGATCGCGAAAGGCAGTATATCGTTCCGAAAAGCGGCCAAACCAGGAAATGGCATTGCTATCATGTAGCGGCTCGTAGCTCATTTCCTCATCGTCGTCGTCGTCAGAAGCGGGCGCCCATCCGTAAAGCGAGCGCGGATTCGACATTCTGCCCTCATAGTTCGGCAGGCTGTTGGGATTGGAGGTCGTGCTGTGGTGGGTATTTGGACTGTCGCGCTGGCGGCGCACAATCGGGATGCGACGATTGCTTTCAATCCGCGGATTCGAGAAGTCCTCCGATTCGAACGGGGCGGGATCGAATTCCATCAAATTTTGTAGTCGACCACGGCGCTGGCGACTGAGGGAGGAAGATGAGTCGGGCGGGGAGCGCACACGCGATCGCAGAAAGCTCACGTTATCATCATGGGCGTCATCGGACACGGCGGCGGGGAGGGAGGGTACAGGAACAGGGACAGGCCGCAAGGAGGAAGCAGAAGAAGACTGGGAGGAGGGATCCTGTGTGCTGAAAGTTAGATTCTAGCTAAGAAAAGCTTCTTATCTGCAATAAGTATTGTATGATTAAGACTCCCATCTGTTATCACGATAGGGCCGGATGTCAACTGATGATAATGGCTGCTCAGTCATTGGTTGTATGCACGAGCGAGACGGCCAACGAACCGAGTCATGTACTGGACATCTCTCCATACCCAGGCAATAACAGACAATCAACCAGATCGCATAGAGACACACATACAGATGGCGAGTTGGCCGGGGGCATGATCTGGTAGAGTGACGAGAAGCAGGTGGTAGTGGAGTGGCGGCGAAAAGGCAGCCCGCCAGAAAGGGGAAAAGTTGGGTTGAGCCTCGAGCATGCACTGGGCGGGGTCGAGTCTTTTTTCAACGCAGATTCCGGCAGTAGTGCTCCAAACTATGTCGTGAAATATGATCGAGGAAGGGAGCAATGACGCTGCAGTTGCGGGAGAGAGAGAGAGAGAGCAAGAGAGAGAGAGAGTTGTTTGTTGGAGATGAAGTCAGAGTCGAATGCGGAGCAAGTCGCAAAGCCGCCCGGAGTCACTGGATTGCCGTATCCGGTTCTTTTCTCTCTCTTTCCCCAACATTAGGGTTGGGCTTCTCCAATTCATTCCCCACTACATCTATTCTTGACATCTATCCACTCCATTCAGGGCTGGGTTCTACATTTATATTTCGTCTGTCTGCACCAAGGCACAAGCCATGGAGCTGCACTATGACATACCCGGCGTTACCCCTCGTATCCACCGAGTCTCTCTCCGATCATCACCATCACCATCACCATCACCTGACTGATAGTCAAACTCCCCCTACTTACTCTCTCTGCTTCCACCTCCATGATCTCATGATCATATTTGATTCCAATTCCGTATCCAAAGCCGATATAGCGATGGATGCAGATTATCTTTGAGGAGCTTCCACGGTTAAGCTTATCCTTGGACTAATGCAAGACAATAACCCACTTAGCACCCTAAGGGTAGCATATCACACTTCTAGATCTGATATGGATCTTCTGGCCGCTGAAGCCCAGAGCCTCGGATGCAATAATGCCAAGAACAGCACGAAATGACTATGGAGTCCCCATACCCCATTTGGGGTCAATTTGTCGGTAATTCGGCCTGGCAAGCGGAGCAACTCCGACCACTCCTTACAGCCATGCCTATTTCTGTGTCCTCTGCTTAACATCCAACTCTTTAGCAACTACCTGAATCACAGCTTCACACATAGAGTCTGTCTAGACACAGAATTCACCATGGCAAAGATCAAGTCAATTGAGTACTTTCGTGTCCCTCCACGCTGGCTATTCGTCAAGGTGGTTGATGAAGATGGCAATTATGGCTGGGGTGAGAGCACCCTTGAAGGGCACACCGAGGCCGTGGAGGGCACTTTGAACGCCCTATGCAGGCGTTTTCAAGGTTACGAGGCCGAGTAAGTCTCTTACACCAGCGCCAGCGCTGCATACCCTAACCACCCCCCTTCCATAGTGACATCGAACACATTTGGCAGATGTCCTGGCGCTTAGGCTTCTATCGAGGCGGCCCAGTCTTCATGTCCGCCATTTCGGGAATCGATATCGCTCTCTGGGACCTGAAGGGCCGTCGACTCGGAGTCCCCATCCATCAACTTCTCGGCGGCAAAGTCCGCAACAAATTATCGGTCTACGCGTGGATTGGCGGCGACCGACCCTCTGATGTAGAAGCCGCCGGCAAGGCCCGTCTCGCCCAGGGATTCAAGGCCATCAAGATGAACGCCACAGAGGACGTGAACTGGCTCGATTCCCCCAGCGTCCTAGACTCCAGCGTCGAGCGTCTGAAGACTGTCAAGGCCCTCGGCCTGGACGCCGCCCTCGACTTCCACGGCCGACTTCACAAGCCGATGGCGAAGCAGCTGGCCAAGGCACTTGAGCCGCATCGACCCTTATTCCTCGAGGAGCCGCTTCTTTCGGAACACCCCGAAGCGGTCAAACAGCTCGCCGACCAGGTCTCGTGTCCGATCGCGCTAGGGGAGCGTTTGTACAGTCGCTGGGATGTGAAGCGCTTCTTAGAGGATGCGAGCGTGGACATTCTGCAGCCCGATATCGCCCACTGCGGTGGCATCTCGGAGCTGAGACGGATAGCTTCCATGGCGGAGACCTACGATGTCGCGATTGCGCCACATTGCCCGCTGGGGCCCATTGCCTTGAGCGCGTGCATGCAGGTCGACTTGGCGACGCCGAACTTTGTCATCCAGGAGATGAGTTTGGGCATGCACTACAATACAGAGGCGGGAGAGTACGATATCACCAGCTACGTCAAGGATGCGGGTGTGTTCGCGGTAAAGGATGGATATGTAGACGCTCTCACGGCACCGGGGCTGGGGATTGAGGTTGATGAAGAGACGGTAAGACGAGTTGCTGCGAATGCAGAGCCCTGGCTGCCGAAGGAGTTTTATGGCTCTGATGGTGGAATCCGCGAATGGTAGTATGTCATAGATTGTGAAACGAGGGGGAAAAAACAGAATAGATCGACCAAAGTAGTTGAGGATACATCTCCAAATAACCGAAAGCTGCTTTCCAATTGAAAATTCTATCGAGCAAAGAATCTAGCACCAGAATCTCTATGTCCATCTATATTCCGAGGAGCAGTATGAAGTCATGCCGATAGTCGGAAGGTCAAATTAAGCCTTCCGCGCAGCGTTAAGCTCATCTGCACGTCCGAGACAATCGTTGATCATGTTCCAGAAAGCATCAAGATCGACACCCCGGGGAATGCAAACCGCGTTTGGTGCAGGCTTAGCAACGGTCTGACCCAGATGCCCAACCAGCTCCATGTTGCTTGAATGAAGACCGTTGGTGACTACGTTAACAGCGAAACGCTCACCATTGCGGTCATCAAACTTCAGCGCCTTTTCGGGGTGATTTTGTGCGTAGAGGGGGTTCAGGGTCGACAGAATGATAGCGACGGCAAGCGGGTCGTGCAGGGGTGGGCCCGAGGCCAATCCAAATACATTCTCGTAGGTGGAAGCAAAGAAGATGAGAAGCTCATACAGCATTTGTCGAAGGGTCGAGGGCTGAACGGAGACATCATCCACGCCGTGGCGGACGAGGTTCCGCACCTTGTCGCTAGCCAGAACCTGGTGAGTCAAATCAAGGGCAATCAAGTACGTCTTGGATGCCAGTGTGGCGTTACTAAAAATGGACTGGGATGACTCAGGATCGCACTGCAGGGAGTATATCAGCTAGTGCAGAGCAGAAGGGCGGGCATAAAATGGGAATGCGCACATAGATGTTGAACTCCGCGAAAGGAGTCACATTTCCGATCCGGTCGTGCTGGCCTTCTATCCTACTCATAGGGACATCGGTGAAACCATTGCCCACAGCCCCTCCCATGATGCTCAGTCCCTGAATATGATTGACCACTTCAGGAAATGTAGCGAACAGCAGGGCCACGTTGGTCAGTGTGCCGGTAGCGATGACCCAGGGGGTTCCCTTGGGCTCAGCCAAGAGGGCGTCGCGCATGGCAAGGATGGGGTTCTTGTCAGTGATGGGAGCCGTGGTGGCTTTGGGAAGAAGCTCTGTTCCATCAATGCCAGAGTCGCCTAGTAGCGTGAAAGTCAGTATTGTGAGGCTCATAACCTGCCAACCTTATTTTAGACCTACCGTGGATATTGGGTGCATGAACGGCGGGCCGACAAAAGGGCTTTCTGGTTCCAGGATAAACAGGAATGTCTGAACGGCCAATAGCTTCCAGAACCCTGGTAGCGTTGACTGTGGTATTGTCTAGGGAGGAGTTGCCATGGATGGTAGTGATACCGAGAAGCTTCAACGAGGGATGATGCGCAGCAAGAAGAATGGCAAATGCGTCCTGAGCACGTTCGCCGGAGAGTAAATGAGTTATATATTCTGCAATGTAAGATGTCGGGAGTCTTTGCACTTACATCGTGACCTATAAACACCTGTCAGTCAACTTGGCCATACAGGCGTTGAAGGAAGGTCTGCAGTATGTTGCGCAATGGGAGAAGAACTGCTTACCGGGGTCACAGTCTAGCCACAAGGGAATTGGAGTATCTTTTGAGGAAGCCATTGGGGTAATCAGTTACTTGAGGAATAGCCAAAAGCTCAGGCAGTGACTCAGTAGGATTAATTTGCGGGATGAAGAAGATGAACCACAACGGGGGTGGGATGCGGGGACTTTGCGATAAGAAATGCGGCGGCGATAAGCCTTATCGCGGGAACCAAAAGCCCTAAGCCCTACCTTCTATATTAGGAAATAGCGGCGGCATAGGTAGGTCATTCCCCTCCGGCTGTCGCAGTTGCTTCATCAACTTCATTCTCCATCACGCGCTGGCATTAGCCGATGGAGTCTTGTCCCTCAGAATCTTACAATAAAATATTGAATTTCAGCGATCCGGCATTGCTTCTTCACTGGCGATGAAATGACCACCGACCCTCTCCGCCCGGGTCTCCATCCGCTGTCGCAACTTAAGGCTAGTCCGACAATCTCTAGCTCCAAGTCGACAGCCTTGTCAGCTTCCTCGCTATTGTCGCAGCCATCATCACCCAGACCTAATCGCCCTCAACCATCTAAGGGACCTAGTCGTGATGAGACGCTTAGTTCCACAAGCGAAAAGGCAACTATTGCTCTGATCCGACGCGTTCTGTGTCCGCAGCCGGGTAACCATGGCGGTGCTTCCACGCCTCCACCTTTAGAAGACTTGCTACCCCCTTTGACAAGCTCAAACGAACTCGATCTTCAACTCTACGCCTTAATTGCCATAGTGGTTAAGGAGTTTGTTCTTTCTTGGTACTCAAAAGTCACGGCGGATCAGGTCTTCATCAACGAACTCATACAGGTTATTGCGCACTGCACCCGGGCGCTCGAGCAGAGGGTGCGCGAAACCGACATCGCACAGCTAGTACTCGATGAGGTTCCAGCACTGGTAGAGACGCATATCAGTTGTAAGTGTGGTTGCATTTTGCTACCTTGATTGATTTTGTATATTGGCGGTTCAGGGCTGATTCGATCGATGGCCTGATGCAGCGTACAGGCTAGCCAAGCAGCAGTCGAACTTGTGCGAACTATCGCCATCACTTCGCGAGATATATCATTCCTTGAATCCTCACCCAGGTCTTTCACCAGTTCCGAGCCCGTCAGATGCCCAGAGCATGACAAGACAACAAGAAGCCGAATCCATATACAGGCAATTGCTGGTACAAGGAGCGCTTGCGATTCTTCTCCCAACGGAAGATCTTGAGAACGTCTGTCTACGGACCTTGTTATGCGATATCATGGCAGATCTTATTCTGGGCAATGGAGTGGCCGGGAAAATGAGTGACGGGTGTTTCATACTGGAGAGTATCACAAAACTGGTAGACAATGCTGGACGCGACAGTCGCAAGGAGGATGCAACCACAGCTCAGTTCCGTCAGCGCTCCCAATTACACGAGTACGGCTTAATCTCGTCGCGAGAGGAGCTGCTGAAAGGCTCGTCACACCCACCGACCCCAGTACGAATCCCGCACTGGGCGTGGCAGACTCTGCAATTTGGATATACCGTCTATGTGGCCTTGCACTTCATTATAGTAGGTTTGTTTCGTGTTTCATCGACGAATCCGGCGCCTTCCTCTCGGACTTCCGCTTCACCAATCAGCAAAGCAAGTGAGACAAATGGCATGTGCACGAGCTCGAGGAAGCGACCTGTGCTCAAGTATCGACTTTACGGCATGCTCGCTCAACTGCTGGATGTACCTCGGCGGATGCCATGGCTTGGGGGATGTCTCGCGCTGGTTCAGCACTTGATCCTGGCGGGTCCAGGTAGATTAGGTGACACCGATAGTGTTCTCAATAGGTGAGTTGCGTGTTTATTTTGAGTTCTCGCACCCCTCTGCCCCTCCTCCGCCAAGCACTCCAATAGTCTCTCGACGCCGACAAATGGAGATGGTAGCTGTTCTTGACCTGTGGAGAAGCGGTGCGGTTCGATTCCCGAACTATGATCTACACTGGTGTGGACAAGTCGTGCAGCACTGTTGGTGGTTATCACCTGGAGATTAGGATGACGGAGCAGGAACCGGTGGGCCGTCGATGATGCATATGGGATGCGCATTGCTCGCATGCTGCAATGATCACTTGATCTGCTGGTGGATGCACAGCCCGACTTCTGCATTTGCCTTAATCTGGCTCTGATTCGCTCGTGCAAGGGTGCTCTTGTTATTACAGACCGTGACCGGCGCTTACGGTTAATATACCACCCGCGTAATCGTCATTACGAGCCGGTGGTCCCGTCTCTTCTTCACACTTCTTCATCAATCAATCAATCAGTCGGTCAATCACTCAATCAATTAATTTGACAAATCGCTACCGGGCCCTGTCTCGGCCACTTCCTACTCAAGTCATGCCATTCCTACTCTGACTGAATGTCGGACATGCCGAGTCAGGTCGATCTTGAGTAGTCTGCGACCTCCTGTCAACCATTCTATGTCAAGTGCACCAGCCTTTTCATGACTGGTGAGGGACGGGACCGGGCCTTCCGTCCCGTCCTCTTCCACGCACAGCCTGGCTGTCAAACAATGCTACAACGAGGAACAAAGAAATTCGGAAATGGGTCTGAACCATCTGCACATCCTTTCGAAAGGCTAGCTGGGGGGAGAGGCTAAAGTGACCCTTGCACAGGCAAATGACGCTTCCTAGCCTTTAGGTCACAAATAAACACTAAGTGACCACCGCAAATCATTTGTGAAGATCATGCTTCCACTCATCAATTGACTGGCTGCTTATTTCGGGGGCATTTGCAGGGACAGGGCAAATTGCTACCCTGTTCCCATATTTTTCGACCAATCATCAAAATCGCTCGCGCTCGAATATCCGAGTCTGTATCCCAGCTGTGTCTTATGGCGCATATGGACACGTTACGGGAGAGGCTAAGGGGAGATGTCGTGTTCTCCAACGTATGAGCTGCCTTACCTTTCTTGTCCGGGGAACAAATATCCACCTTGCTCTTTTTCCAACCTGCCATCATATTCAGGATCACTGGTGGTATCTCAATCGCACCAATCGGTGGTCCATGCTCTTCCGCCGTGCCTCTGGCCAGGCAGATCCCTCTATCATTTGACATTTTCGGTCTGTCGGGGTCAACCGCTTCTCCACAATATCGAGGCCCTCCATTACCGGCTTTAGAAGTCAGATCGCCTCTGATGCTCTTTCTGACTCCCTTCATCCCTGCTCCTAGCTGTTATCTTACATTTACCTTTACTAGGTTCCTTCACGAGACCATCCAGGATTATGTTCTCACCCCCGCTTTATTACCAAACCTGCTTCTGGCGACCAGAGCGGCGCTTTTCCCACTGAACGCTCGTCCAGCGGCGGCGACCACGGCGGTATCGGCGCCGCAGCTGTCTGTGCAACCTCCCACGCCTCCTATCGCCATCACCAAAGACCCTGTTAGCGAAAGCGCTGGCGCAAGTGACGCTTGCAGTAGCGTCTCAACGACTGGTCTTTCATCGACAGCGCCCTTATCGCCGGACCCGCGTCCCTCTACGCCTGATTTCGCATCTGTAAAGCGACGCTGCGCGGCCAGCATCCTG